CATTCAAACAGAGAATGTTCCCAACAGAAATTCCGAAACTCACGAGACCTCTTTCTGAAGATGACTGTAGAACGAGGCAACATGGCAACAGTACTGCTATTTGCATAATCCGCATTGGCTTCTATTGGCGGCTTTTCTAAGCGACTAGATTTCACCTGTTCATCCAGAAAAAGATGCATCGTGATTTATCTTATTCAGGGACAAATAATGTTATTCTATCAATTTTGTAAGAGATAAAGCGGTGGAGTTTTCTTGGAGCAACTTGGCTGGTAAGGACAAGTAGCAACAGTTTCATCATATTCTAGATAGAATATAAAATCGCACAGCGTTCTGGTAAGAAAAATGTTAAAACTGTTAGCCATTTTTTGTTAGACATTTGGTAATGATGGCTTAATATTCATAGTCAATCTAATGTTCATTTATGACCTCTGGATACAAATTTCATCACGAAAATTATTTTGCTATTTGATCACTGCACGTTTGCTACAAGTTTTCTCCAATTTTTAAATTGAATCTCTCCAGACATTCTAATGCTCTTTATATCCTAAATAAAGTTGCTTTGATGTCAATTTTTCGAGAATCAATGTATTTTTTTAAATTTAGTTCTGGAAAATTCAAATTGTGTGGCAATGAAAAAAAAATCATAAGTACTGGAACTACTTGATAACATCGTTAAAGGGAAAACATTTACTGAACCAAAGACGTGGAGCATTGTACTAGAAAAATTTTCCCTGTCCTACTTTTTCACTTTTTGAGACCGTTTTGTTCAGCTGCTTCTTCAGCTAGTTTTGTAATCAATCGAAAGAATTTTGCAACAATAAGGTTATTTTAGTTTGGAAGAAAGTACACGTTTTAGAAATGACTTAGAGTTATTGAGAAATGTTATTTTCAGAAGAAAAAATCTTTCGACTGACATAAAAGATTTTATTCAGCAACGTACATAATTATTTTGCTTTTGACCGCTCGCTATAGTATTTTAGCCATTAAAACATGTGGCATCCTCCCTAAATTTTCTCAAAAAACTGTTTTAAATTTGTTAGCCCTGCGATCGCGGCTCTCTTTAGCCCAACTGGTCATTTCTGCTACATTTATTTTCCCGTTAGGTTTCAACAGTATTAATTTAGAGCTCGGCAAGTTTCCCAATCACTTTTAGATATACATTTACCCATTCTAGCAAACTATGCCCTTACTGTAGACAGGTTATTTTATTATAAGATTCAAGAAATGAAGGCCAAAGCTGCCCTATATGCTAGCATTTGTATCGTGTCTTATCAAAATCATTTAGTGTGTGATCTTTAAGATGTTTCAAGTAGTAATTATTTCATGCCGCAAATCTATTAAAATTTTGCAAAATATCTCCCCCTTCTCATCGTCATCCCTCGGCGGTGTAGTTCTGCGTCGCGTGAAAAAATGTTTTTAGATTAGCCACTGCTAAATATTTTCTCATTGTGAACTCTCTGCAAAGTTTCACCCTTCTTTGTAATAAAAATGAGACTTTTTCAAAAAGGGTGTTCTATATACGAAATACGAATTAATTAATTTTCGTTTCTCGTGATAGATTTCAGATTAGAGAAGTATGTTATTCCCAGGGTCATCAAGTGGGGGTAGCTAGGGTGAAACACCCAGAGCTAGGGTGAAATTTGATATTACCTACTGTCTATATCACGTTTTAATTCTTGGTCAGAGCGGAGCAGTCCGGTGGGGTTCCATTTGTATCCTTAAGTCAAAATGATAGCGGAGATTTTCAAATATCAGATACACGTGCTTATATGTTGGTAACTTTTATGAATGTATTTATGTCTGGCGCAGGGCATTTCTACCCACGTGAAGCCCATTTTGTGTGTTTTATTCAGATTCCGTAATCCTAAGCTGTAAGTTTCTCATTTTCTTTGAAAATAAAGGTCGCAGTTGTTGACAGATGTTGTTCGCTATTAGCAGAAAAGGTGTTGAAAAATAGCAGCGAAGGTACCTTTAGTTCGCAGCTATTTCTTTCGAGTTCATAACTCTTTCACGCACTTTGATTATTCAATTAATAGCAAAAAAACTCTTACAATCAAAACACATATTAACAATCAATTCTTGTAAAATCTGCTAATATACTCGCTTTTCATCAAGATTAAACCTTCCTAAAGCGCTGAAGAATACTAACTCAGTTATTCCTGCCTCAGTCATTTATTTCATGTTCAAAGATTCCACACTATTTATGGTTCAACTCAGATCAACATTTCTTATGTCTATCCAACCTGCTTTGATGAGCATAGTGTAACAGCAGTTTTTGATCCCCTGAATCAGTTATGAATGACTTTAAAATGTTCCAAAATAGAAATATTCCTCAACCATCGGCTATAAAAATCTAAGGTCCACCGAAACTCTTATATGCTTGTTTTTGCTACGAAATACCAATGAATTGGATATGGCTTAGAAACGTTGTTCTTCAGCTTCGATCTTCACATATAGTTTTATGTGCATTGTCTTCTCTACTTTTACGCGTTTTATTACATTCATTGATAAACCAGGCCAATTTTTACAACACCCATTTATAATTTATCCACTCACACTTGAACAATCACAATCTAATGTTTACGTTTATAATCCGTGATGCTGAAGGCACTGTTTTCTGCTAGATTCTCTATCTTGAATCGAAAATATCTTCACTCCCACAAGGCTCTAGTTTGGAAACAATCATTGCCTAAAAGTTCCGTCTATACAGGTTACCCTTTCCAGCGGTTTATCTTAAATCAGCAAAACAATATGATAGTTTCAAAGGTTTTTTATCACTCGTGCTTGATACATTGAAAAGCTTGTTCTATTAAATGTTTAAAAAATGCTATATTCTATAACAAAAATAGTAGGCAAACTTAAATTATACAGTTTCGTATAATGTTTCGATCTTCGTCTTCACCAGTAATCTGTATACATATTCCTAAAAACATTCATCAAGAAATATACTGCATTGTTTTATGAATAGTTTGCTTGCTAATTCTCTCCGATGCAAAGATCTCAATAGAAAATAGAAAATCAAGCATTAAACTGTTTTCGCTTTTTAATTGTCTTGAGTGTCTCATTTTGTAGATACTCAGCGATCTGTTTGTGAAAATTTTGCGAGAAAAGGCAAATCTATTGCTAGTTTTCAAAGCAATCAGGAAAAAACCTACTGCACCTGTGTAAACCACAAAAGAACTTGTAGCAATGGATATTTTGTTTTTGTTGTCTTGGAAACAGATGCCATTTGTACTTGCAAACTCGCAATTTTTTCGGAATAAATGCCCCAGTCAATGCTGTTGCCGAATGGCCATCCTAGATGGTTTTTGCAAATTGTATAAGTTACTTGAATTGTAAAAAGTTGGAAGGTAAATATCCCCTTTTTGTAGCGATAAGGTATTTTCTTATCTGCTCTACTGTCTTTTTCAAATAGTGACCCAGCGTTTAAAAATCTTATGCAACGAGTCACGTGATATCAGACCTGTAAGTTCCGCTTTAACATATGTACATTAACTACAAAAAAATTTCGCCGTGACAAATTTTTGGACAAACATTTTGACGAAATTTTCTTCGACTTAATTGAAATTGAGACGAAATTTTTTCACGATGAAATTTTTTGCATTTAAGATTTTTTTAGAATTCGCGTAGAAAAGCTATTTTATGAGGTAAAAAATCAAATTTATGTACATATTATTTAAACCATCTTCACAATAATCTTTATCGTAGGCATCATCATCATCATTATCATCATCATTGTCGGTTCTTGAACTAACTTCGTTTTCACCATCGTTAGATAAAATAGTTCTAACTCAGTGGCATAGCAAGGGAAAGGCAAGAGGGGCAGATGCCACCCCTAATGACAAAAAATCTCTTTGACAAAGGGCGTTTTCTTGGGTCCAAAAGGATGTGGACCCCAATTTTCCCTTGCTCAACTCGCCTTTGCCTAACCCTCTCTCCCCCAGTCTTACCAGCCTCGCTACGCTTCTGTTCCAACTGTGTTTTTTCGCCAATTTCAAAGGATTCCACCTCTGTCTTTTTATACTCAACTGTACTATTTTTTCATTCGTTCAAGGTATTTGTACTTTTCAATAAAAATTTTGAACTCTACAAGAAGTAGAATTTCGAGACCAACTTTTCCTGTTGGAGATGGTCTTGTGCTTTCCGAATCTTCACTTATATTCACACTAATATTTTTAAATATACTCTGTTTATGAACTTTCATGCCTTATAAATATAGGGTAGAGACTCTTGCTTAAAGCATCTCTTTTGACTCCACCTTTATTTAAACTGAGGAAATATAGCGCTTTAAATTGGTTTTCCTGACGTGCTGCCTGGTGAGATGAGCCAAAATCCGAACGGGGTACTCAACACTGATCAGTGGTACTCAAGCCCCCAAGTCTCCACGAAGCCGGTACCTATGGGATTGAATATAAGGCAACCTGTATGGTTTTGCCTCTTAAGGTCTTGGTAATATGTTGCTATTTTTATGTTAAAAATCCACGATGAAATTTTGTCACGACGAAATTCTAAAGTTGTCCGAAATTTTTTTCGACGAAGTATATCCGCCGAAAATTTATCTGACGAAATTTTTTGCTGTTAATGTAATCACTTTTACCTTGGGGAGGGGGGCAGTTTTGGGGCCTCAGTCTACCCCATGTTTCATCAGCTCTTAATTTTTTGCATTGTGGAACTAAGTTTACTCCTGTTTCTTTGTAGTAATTGAAAAATGGGCATTTATGTTATCTTTCAAAACAAAAAGGCATCTTCTGTCCTAAACTGAAAAATATTTTGTATTATATAAATTTCTATATACGATTCCATATTCATATCAGAAAATTTTATAGTAATCCCTTTTTGCTGGAATGGCTGCTCCAAAGCATGGAAAAGGGATGTGATGACATCGTTAGCAGGAATAAGAACATTTTGATCTTCCGCCTGTAAGCATCTGAGAACTTTTACATCCATCAACATGAGAGTGGAACATGCAATTTTTGTAGCTCTGTTGGTTACTTTTTCAGGAATTTGTGTTTCGCCACCTCTCAGTCGAGATGAAGACCGGCTCCAACATCGTTAGTTCTTTCAGAAGATTTCGCGCCATGTCGACCCAAAAGGAAAACAGTATCGACAGTACTACTCCTCCGCAGTCAGCGTTAGGTAATGGACGCAGCACCACCAAAACACAACGGACAGCAAAGCGTGGTCAGCGGTAAGAACACTAATTTCAAGTTCATTTTGAACTTCTAATGACATCTAGAATTTTGTTTGTTATTTCAAATTTCGAGTTTCAATGGCCTTTATAAATGTTTCGTGTCCGTTTGGTCATTCTATCAAGTCTATTTCCAATGTTTAGAACTGCATTTAGTTCAGTGGCGGATTTAGGGATGGGGCAGTTGCCCCTCCATCACTAAGTTGAAGCCAGTCTAGCGCCCCTTTTTTGGAAATTTTGCGCCCCTCTTGAAGAATGAGAAGCAAGTAAAAAACTTTTTGGAACTTCTAGGTTAATTTACTTCAAAGATTTTCTCAAAGTATACAACATTATTGTGAAAAATTTCCTTACAAGTGAATACAGCGTACACTCATCATCAATTTCTGAAAAATTTTCAGCCCCCCCATTACCAACTGCTCCTCCTTCAAATTTTCTCTGGATCCGCCTCTGATCTAGGTCAGCTATTTTGTTCAGAGAATGTTGCAGACATTTGATAGAATGTTTAAGAGACTGATCCTAATGCAATGGGTTGTAAATAACAGCACTTGTCGATGCTGACTGTCATTTAACGAGGCCATGTCGCCATACTATGAAAACTGTTTTGAAAATATGTACAATATGTAGAATATGTAGATCCTAGGGGAAAGGTACTCATAAATTTCTAGGATTGGGGTGCTCAGGTTAATTTTTTTGTTACTAGAATTTTAGTAAAAATTATCTTTTCATCATCATTGTTCATTCAGCCGCCGGCGGGCTGCTTGTGCACCTCTGAATGATACCACACCACAATCTTCTGTCTTGCGCCTGTTCGATACATTTCCGGAGAGATGCACCAACCAGGGCCTTGATGTTATCTGTCCATCGGTGTTTCGGTCTACCTCTACTTCTTTGGCCCTCAACAAAACCCAACATTACGGTTTTTTCCAGCGAGGAAGAGTCTCGGCGTGCTATGTGGCCGAAGTACCGTAGTTGTGCTTTTTGAATATTTCTCAGCAGGGTTTTCGAGTGCCCCACTCTCTCCAATACCTCAATGTTTGTAACACGGTCGCTCCATGATATTCCAAACAAGCGTCTGTAAGCCCACATTTCGAAAGCATCGATCCTGTTCCTTTCGCGTTGTCGTAATGTCCATGTTTCGCAGCCGTAGGTGGTGATTGAGAACACGAGTGATCGCAATATTCGGAGTTTCGTGTTGCGTGTTATGCTGCTATCTCGCCATATTGCCTGCAGCTTTCCAACAGCCGAGCGACCAATTCCGATTCTGCGGTCGATTTCTTTCCTGGACTCCCCCTCTGCTGTTATGTACGATCCAAGAAAGTTGAAGTCTTGAACTCGTTCGACTTCTGTGCCATCCACAGTCACGGTGTCTTGTGTCTGGTCACCGATCGCCATCAGCTTGGTCTTGTCTTTGTTGAGATATAGTCCCACTTTTTCGCTTTCATCCTTGATCTTGTCCACTAGTCTTTGCATGAGGCCGATAGCAGTTTCTAAAAGTGTGGTATCGTCTGCGTATCTCAGTTCGTGTATTCGGTTACCGCCAACAGCGAAACCACAGTCCTCTCCTTGTGCGACCTGTCTCATAATGTATTCGCCGTAGATGTTGAAAAGCAGCGGTGAAAGAATACAACCTTGACGTACGCCTTTACCTAGGTTGAAAAAGTCCGTGATGCCGTCGTCGTCGCACCTTGTGATGAATATAAATTCTTGATAAGATGTATGATATGTAATGGAAATCCCATCTTCTCTAAAATGTTCCAGAGCATGTTGTGATCCACGCAATCGAAGGCCTTACTGTAGTCAATGAAGACCATGAAAATACGTCGGTTCTTTTCGATGGCCTTTTCGATAATCCAGCGCATGTTGGCGATTTGGTCACGTGTACCACGACTTTTTCTGAAACCTGCCTGTGTTTGAGGGAGTTCACGATTGAGGTGGTTTTCCAAACGTGCTGCTATTATATAAAGAAGAATTTTGCTCGCGTGTGAAATCAAGGAGATGGTACGGTTATTTTTGCATTCCCTTGTGTCACCTTTTTTCGGTAAGGTAATCAGCAGTGATTTGGTCCAGTCATCTGGCCATTCTTTGGTGCTCCAAATCCGATTGCATAATTTGAGAAAGATCTTCTCTCCACTTACACCAGTTGCTTTCAGTAATTCTGCCGGTATGTCATCTATGCCTGGACTCTTATGTTTCTTCATTTTTTTCAAAGCTGCAGAAACCTCTGATAGCAGAATTTCTGGTTCATCTACGTATGTACTTGATATTGGTGGCACATTGCTAATCCGGTCATCTTTTTCGTACAGGCTTTCGCAATATTCTTTCCATCTTGCTTTTATTTGAGAAGATTCAGTGAGGACGTTGCCATTGACATCTTTTATGACAGATAGACGCGTCGCAGGTTTGGTAGTGATTTCCTTGATGAGCTTGTGCATAGTGCGCGTGTTGTGGCACTGTCTGTTGGTTTCTATCTCCTTGCATTTCTCATTGAGGTAGTTGTTCTTATCCTGTCGGGTAGATCTGCGAATATCTCTTGTGAGGTCATTGATGCGTCTACGATTAGTCGAGTGGTCTTGACTTTTCAGTTCACGACGTTTAACAACTAGATCAATGGTTGCAGATGAAAGCATTTTGTTGATTTTCTTCGTGTTCGGTTTCCTGAGAGTTTCCTTTGCTGAGCATAAAATCTGAGCTGAGCGTCTTTCGTTTTTTCCCATATTTCATTACCTTTATCTTTCATTACCATTATCTTTTAGGGTCAGCCAATTGTAAAAATACTTCATTGGTTAATGAAATTCTGAATTAATTTTTGGTTCTTGAATGTAAGGAAAGTTTAAAAAACTAGAGAAAAAATGCAAGCTTTTTGCAGGATGTGAAAAATTATTTTTTGGGTCCATTTTTGCACCAAAAATTTTCTTTATGGTTTGTACCTCAGCCTAAACAGCCCTATTCTAAATACTGTATATATGAGTACCCCCACCCCCTGGGAAGTAAATTCCGTTTTCAATTTGTTGTGCTAGGCGTTGATATCATAAAGCCTTCCCATAAATATCTCGAGCCCCCACAAGAATGATTGGCCTAAAGGAGCCTCAACTTTTACATTAGTCTTCCCGCCTTACAATCTTCACTTGTTCTCTTACAGACTTTAATTTGATATTAAAGAATATTCAATTTTTCATTCAGGGGAATCACACTTGGTACATTTCCATCCAAGCCAATGCGGAGGCGATCGACATTTTTGAATGTTCTTGATAATGGAAAAGAAAGACAATATACTGAAGATGAAAAAAGGTTCCTGCGAAAACTTCATTTTGTCAGCACAATATCCCCAACCAGGGAGGAACCTTCGAAAATGAAAGTCTGGGGTATAGCTTTCAAGGGACCGGACAAAAAATTTGTCATCGATCCATCAGGTATAAAATGTATAATTAGTAAACTAGAGAGTTTTTATTTGTGGCTATTCATTTGGTTTGTGATGGTCATGTTAAAATCTTTTACTGTATGCGATTGCTGTACGTGCTTGCGTCTTTAGCCTTTAGAGTAGATATGTGTCTTGATACTAACATGGTCTCAAAAATTAAGATTATCAGAAATGTCAGATATAGCAAATTATCCGATGAATCTTTACGATAAGTGCGTTTTTTGTGTCTGTTAGCCTTACTTTTGTATCATATTGAATTCAACAACTTACTAAACATTGCTAATAGGAATGTGATTTGAATTATGAATCATCATTTTTACGTTTTAGTTACGAATGTAGTAATTTTCCTGCACCCGTTTTAGTTTCGACAGCTAAATGCAAATTTGTAACACTTGCTTTATTCATTTTCAGGCAGGCTGAATTATTACTGGCACATGTGGCTGGCAATAATGTTTATGTACTCGACGAACATCATAACACTTCGAGCTGCTTTTTCAGAAATTCACAAGCTGCATCTTGCTGTATGGCTGGCAATTGACTATCTACTGGATGTTTTCAATGTATTGGACATATTCATGCACACCAGACTCGCTTATATGGATGAGGGTATCCTTGAGTGCAATATAAAGAAGATCCAGAGACGTTACATGCGTAGCTACTCTTTTGCACTTGATATGATTGCGGTTTTGCCAATCGACCTGTGCTTCCCGACAGCAACGTTCCAGCCAGCCCTTCGTTTGAACAGACTTTTTAAAATACACAGACTCTTAAAGTTCATCGAAAAGGCAGAAAGCTCGACAACTTATCCGAATACTCTAAGAGTGTCAATTCTTGTCATTTTTATGTTCACCGTGATTCACCTAAATGCTTGCCTTTACTTTAAGGTTTCAGAGGCAATAGGTAAGTGCAAAATTTAAATTTCATCTATTTACGATAAAACGGGGGTTTTGTAACACAAAGAACATCCGTTTATGTAACACCTCAAATGGAGCCCCAGTTTTCAAGTCTGTGCTCTATAGAGTTCTCAAGTGTGACGTCACAAATAAACTGTTTTTAGTATTTTCGAATTTTGACCACATAACACAAAATAACACCATAGAATACTCCCATTTATGCAAAATCAGTCAAATTTGTCAAAAATCGGGTGAGCTATGACCAATAGAAGATTTGAAGTTTGCTAACGGATAACTGTTACTTTGGCTCAGTTCCAAAAATCATGAACTTGTTTCTTCTGTTGCCCTTAAACTTTGAGAACATCACATTTTTTGTCGTAATTATTTCGCATTTTTTGCTTAATAACATTTGTACTCGTTACATCTCTAATTTTGTTTTATCAATCTTGTTATTTCTCCTACTACCTTTAGTGATTCTGGGTTCAGTCCCCATATGCATTTTTCTTGGTGTTTCTTTCTTGCTCATCAATTGGAATTTTTTTCGCATTTGCCTTTTTGTCACTGCCAAGCTGTGATAATTATCTTCTAGAAATTTAATTGTCCATTTCCACCTCTCCACGTCCATTGTTTTATGTCTTTCTTTCCATCTTGGTGAAAACTTGAGTTTGAATATTCAGCAGTAGCTTTCCATGAGGCAGCCAAAGGAAGCTGTTTGGAGGCCTGTTAAAGTTTTACCTTTTGTTTGAAAATTCTGCTTTGTCATGTTTCAGGTTTTGGCTCAGACGAGTGGGTGTATCCTGGAGTTCTTGGAATGACAAAACTAAACGAGACCTACGCCTCATTAACGCGGCAGTACGTTCAGTGTTTCTACTGGTCCACATTCACGTTGACAACGATTGGGGAGTTGACGAAGCCACAAACAACATTAGAGTTTTCATTCGTCATTTTGGATTTTCTACTTGGTGAGCAAACGATTTCGTATTAACTAGATTATGGAGACAAAATTCCCAGGTTTCAAAATTCAAAGCATTCCCGGGTTTCTCAAAGCTAAACAACATTGCAACGGGCTTATAAATTTGGCTGTCAATTTTGTTTGAAAATTTGAGAGCAAGCACGAACAAAATAGATTTAGGCCACTTCAGCAAAACCGAACATAACGATAAAAGCTAATAGCAAGAAAGAATCGCACGATCTAAAAGAAATACGTAAGATACTACGCAGCGGTAAATTACTAAGCCGTGATCGTCGTAATAACAGATTTAATCCTTGTCGACCCATTTGGATGAAGTGTATGGGACCAGTTATTAACTTGTGTTTTAAATTAGTTAGTCCGACTCTCTGGTTCAAGTCCAAGAAAAAACCTAAGGCGATGCTTTGTTTGTTGATTGTCTCCTCCACAGCGGTCATGGCCTTTTAGGAACAAGAAGGTTACCTAACTTTGAAGTGAAATAACAGACACACAAAAAACTGGTCTACCGTTCTACCGGTCATAAACGCGCTCGATGTGCGATTAAGCTTGGAACTAAGATCTGTCTTGTTGTACAGGCCAAAATGTGTACAGGTCTTCCTATACCGCTATATGACAGGTTGGTAAACAGTAATCCTCAAAATTTGAGTTAAACAGAAAAAAGAGACGGTATAGGTTAGGTTCATTTTATTTTAATTTTATTTCCAGGGTAGTGTTGGAAACATCCAGGGTAGATATGAGAGTGTGAAATACTTTTCAGCTTGCCCGAATGTCTGACAAGGCCTCTCGTTACATAAATTACACTTTAGCAAAGGGCAGGTGCTTATTGACGGATTCTTTTAAAGCATATCTGCTTCTTTTAACAGTAATATTGATAAAGGACCTCGAACTAATAGATAATCTTTCACGATTTTGTCAGCTTTTGCGCAAAATTCACACAAAAGAAGCACCATATGTCGGATTATTTTTGCACAACCGAATAAGGCCTGCGAATAAAATCTCCCAAATTAGCCTTTTTCTGTTCCCTGAAGCTACTCTTCCAGACAATGAATCTTAATCCCCAAGTAATAAAGTTTAGGTTTAAAGGAATCGCACGGTTTATATTTTTGCATGTTTGCCTACTGATGGGATACATCCTTCATCTTTTCTAAAACATAAACCAAGGACATCTGCAGCACTGAGGCTTCGGGGACACCCGTACCCTTTTTCCTGCCAACAGGAGAAGTGGGGGCTGAATGTGCCCTAGTAAGATACAAAGAAAAAAACACATTTGGTAGATTTGTCCTGCTTCCTCCCCTTTTTTCTGCAGCTGTCCCGCAAAAGACACTATTTATTTTTTTGTAATTTACTGTTGTTCAGATACTAGCAGTTATATTTAAATTTTTCATGACTTTATTGTCTTGCAGGCATTCTCCTATTTGCATCAGTTGTTGGTTACCTAGGTAATGTAGTTCAAAATACCCAAGTTGCAAGGTCACATTTCCAGCAACGGTTAGATGCAATCAAGGCAAGCAGAATGTTCCTTTCTAACTATCATCCATCTCTAACTATTGATATATTTGACAAAATCTGACTTATGACATATTTTCAATCTGATATTGAAATCAAATGTATTCTAGACTTTCAATCAAACATTATTATAACTATATTGCAACATTATTAGTGAGGTTTTCTTAGCGCATGCACAATTTTTCGTTGAATATAACCAATTTGGCATTGTCTCATAGATTGATAAAAATTCGAATGTTTTTTCGTTCCAGTTTTTTGCAAGAAGTTGCTAACGACCTTTTTCCTATACAAATCCGTATTCACTTATTCCCAAACATTGATATAAGTTTAATGTCTACAACTTTTAGAATGCCTGCAATATTTCCATAATATTTCCATAAAAGTTATCGTTATATCATTACATTTTTATTTTCAAGACATCGGTAATTCAAGTGCTTCCTATGCCCACCTAGTTCTTAGTTTAATGGCCTTCTTATGAAAGAATTTAAGATACCGCAAGGTATTTCTGCATTGTGAGATTTCTTCTAGTGTTTAGGAATAGAAAATCATAATAAACCTCAGAATTCAGTACATAAAAACCAGGATTTGCAAAATGGGCCTCGATGGGTAGTGGAGATGGTTTTAATTATTTGTCTCCTCTTCAGGCATACATGCAGCACCACCGATTGCCTTATGGTATCAAAAAGCGCGTGATTCACTGGTTTGATTATGTTTGGTCCAATAACAAGCATCAAAGCAGTGATGAGGTACTGAGTTGCCTGCCGAAAAAACTCCAAGCTGAAATTGCTATTCACGTCCATCTTGATACCCTACGCAAATGCAACATGTTGCAAGACTGTGATACTGGTTTTCTTTATGAGTTGGTTCTTCGTCTCAGGATACAACTCTTTTTACCAGGTATGCAATGAAATAGTGATATTTATTAAGGTGCACTTTGTAACTAAAAAAGGGTTGTTAGTACTGTATTGAATTGAATTGCATGGTTTATCTAATGTTAGCCGTTACAATAGCGGAAAAACACGTGTGAAGCATGAAGCACTTTCTTCAAGCCCTGCATATAAAAGTTTTAATAACAGCTGCTAAAAGGTATCGTGGCAGGGGTGAAACTACCTCCTAGCACAATCTAGTGAGAAAGTTTCGTGTTTTTTGTAAACTGGGTTTTTTGTGATCATATTTATGCAAGTTTGAATATATTCTACTAATGTGGATCGGAGAACGGAATTTTATTCTATTTTCCAAGCCAGACAAAATTTACAGATTTACAAACATTTGATGGTCACACTTGAAGTACAGTTGAACCTCGATATCTCGAAGTTTCAAGGGAAATAAAAAGTAGTTCGAGATAGTGGGGTTTCGAATTATCGTGTTTTATGGGCTTCTAGCTGCTAAACAGCCTAAAAAGGTTTCTATCAATAAGAAAATCAGAAAATATTGGCATTAATGCACAAAATTTGAAAAATCTCTAAATCGTTTTAAAGAACTACGTTAACGTTGACTGTTGCTGACGCGATACAAATTCGATTTCAATCATGCGTGTGATTAAACGCAGGTTATGTCTCTCTTCACTTCCTTTTTCAAGGAAGGCACTTTGCAGATACAAGGTATCCAATGAATCTCTAACTTCTCTTTTAGAAGGGGGACAGCTCTCCTTTTCTTCCCCTTCCTCGCCTTCGTCTTCTGCTCAGCTCTGACTGTGTTTTGTAAGTTCTGCAAGGATGTCTTCATCATTGATGGTAGCAAAATTCTCGCATTGAATAACCACATTATCGAGCTCTGCAAATTGCTCAGCTGTTATTTCTGAAGGTGCTAACTCTGCATTCCTTTCTCTGAGACTCGAGAGTTCTTCAGTGAGTTCCCTGAACGGATCATCTTCGTCGCTTGCAGCGTATCGTTGTGAATCTATTGATATGCCTGCTTTCTTAAAACAGTTTATGACATTTGAGACTTCAATTGCATCCCAAGACGCAACAAGAATGTTCTTTGCTTCCAAAATAGTAAACTTAGGAAGGAATTGCTTGCGATCAATTGCACTGATACGTTTTTGTACGGCACGCAGTCGATTCTTGGCTTTCAATTACCTTATTACACCTTGATCCATAGGTTGCGTTTTGGGTGTTGTGTTTGGGCTGAAAAGATGAGCTTAATTGCCTTTAAACCTTTCACCATAGGATGTGCTGGACAGTTGTCATAATTAAGGCAGTGTTCCGCTCTCACCTTCAAATTGCCTGTCTTTTTTTTACCCACTTCTCAAAAAGCACTCCACCCATCCATCTTTTTGCTTGGGCTCTGCTGTAAAACACCTGTAAAACAGCATGGCTTGGTGGACTTGCCAATAACAAAAATGGGAAGTTTCTCTCCTGTAGCACTAGCAGCTGCGAAACCTGTCAATCTGACTTTGCTCATTTTTCCTCGGATGCACTTCTCTGATTTTAAAGATTTTAAATGGAGGCTCTTGCTTGGTAATGCCTGTTAATAGAGGCCCATCTCATCTGCATTGTAAATGTCCTCCAATTTATACTGGCTTAGAATTGTTGGCAACACTGTTTCTGACCATGATGCCGTCATTACTGGTGTGCATGAAGCAATTTCTCCTGAAACAGTTTGAAAGGAATGCCATAACTGGCTTTCCATCTTTCTATCCAGCCGTTTGATGCTGGAAATTTTCGATTTCAAGCTCTCTCGAATACTGTGTGGTTTTTCCTTTAAAACTTGTCCACTTATTGGAATATTTGAGCTTCTTGCAGATAAAAACCACTTATAGATGGCTTTGCCTAAATCTTCATTTGCTGCTACTTTCAGCTTCAATCTTTTCGGGTTGTTGCCTAATTCAAATCCTTCGAAGATCTTATCCTTGTTTTTTGCACCAAGTGGACAAAGTATTGCGTGGTACCCCGTATTCAACAGCAACATCCTTTTTCCGAGCTCCTCTCTCACTTTCTTTTAGGGCTTCATATTTTTCTCCCAAAGATTTACACGAAAGTTTTCTTTCCGGTGCATTCATTTTTGTAATCGTGTGAGGTTATGTGATAATGCAGCACAATGCGGTATTACTCTTTGATCAGTCAAGTAAAGTTGCAAATGCATGGGTTTGTGAGAGGAAATACAAATCATTAGATACGTGAGGGCTATTCCAACAAGTTGGTATTAATTGGCTAGCGCTATTTTGTTACTTCCGTTGGCATGACCAAAAACTCCAGCGTCATACTATCAGGGTTTAATCTTCATTTTCAACTGTTGAAAAGCAGAAAGCAAAACACCAGGAAAGGCCTTTAATAGAAAGTTAAGAAGAAGGCGAAGCAAAAATGGAAAGCTTTAAAACTTAATCATTTGTGAAAGGATATCATGTGTATCGTCAAACATGGACACCCATTATCAGCGAGTGACTAACAGCAATCCAAAAACCAGCAAACCTAGTCGACAAGTATGCCGTGTGTTTATTGAAAAATGAACATGTAGTGGGTCACTTGGATAAAGGACAAACTGGAAAATTGGCGAAAACCATCTTCTACTTTCTCCGTGCGGAAAAACAAGGAATATTGGAATTCAGTGAAAAAAAGACTTTATTAACGTTTTAAAAAGACAGATAAGCAAAAGCTAAATATTTTCATGAAATATGTGTCCAGTGAAATATTTGATTAGGAATTGAATTGACAAAATGATTTACATTCCTTTCTCACGTACTTAATAGGTATACGAATTGGCGCTTCGTGCCGAGTTGATTTCCTGTTTTTGCCTGTTGTTATTTTTAAATGTTCGAGTTAAGCAGTAGTAAATGATATGTTTTGGCCACAAAAAATTGTTCGAGATAACGAGGAATTCGAGTTACGCGGAGCTCGAGTTAAACGGAGTTTCGTTAGTACTTAACATTATAGCAAATCCAAGGGAAATGAAAGCCAGTTTGAGTTATCAAGGAGTTCGAGATAAACCGTGTTCGAGATATCGAGGGAAGCCACAGCCAAATTTAGCTAGGCCTGTTTCCTCTCCGACTATAATGCTCTTACTGCAAATTCTTCTTATTTTGACTTTAAGAACAAAAAATTAGTTAGCTGAAATAAATTGTTATTTCTTTAATCCCACTTTTAATACTCTCACAGTCTTTTCATACTTTCTCCATTTCCTACTTTTTCTTTTTTAGTGGAAGCTATCTAATTAGTATGTACATACCTTTGAAATTTCAATGGATCACCAACTTTTGAGCGTGTTATTTGTTTTAGGGGATTACATATGTAGAAAAGGAGACGTGGGGCATGAAATGTACATTATACATAGAGGCAAGGTGGAAGTCGTATCTGCAGATGGCTGTGCTGTGTACGCAACACTGGAGCCTGGGTTCTACTTTGGAGAAATCAGTTTGCTTAATATAGGACCATTTGGTAATCGGCGGACATCAAATGTGCGGTCTGTTGGCTTTAGTGAACTATTTGTCATAACAAAGCAGGATTTGAATAATATTCTTGCAGAGTACCCGGAAACTAAAGATAAAATCATCTCGCTAGCGAATGAACGCTTAGCGCGAGATGGCAAGACAAAAGAGGAAACAGTATCAGGATTCAGTACTCCTCAAAGGTAATATTCTAAATTTCGTTGAGGAGTGCCCCCTTCCTCTTTTTTCTATTTTCAAAATTATTTTGATGATAAAAGAACTTATTTAAATTTGAATCGGTGTGTTTTAGGATCTCAAACAGCTGGTACTTTAATAAAAATCCTTTTCTATGAATCCCGTAATTTTTGGTGACCCAACTCATATTTATTATAGACAAAAGTTATGCACCATTGTTATGTTGCAACATCCTACTTTAGCAAGATGACTTCTGTGTTGCCGTTGTGCTTTTAGTTTGATAGCACAGGATACAATTTCTTAAAGGGCGTTGGCAGTCTAGCAGGTCTAAACATTTAGAATAGAATTCCACATTACATTTCTGTTTCTTAAATTTTTACTGTCGTAAAAATTCATCCTCGATTCTATGCTTTGTAATTGAAAAAAGAAAATGATTGTCTTGCATTAGCCAATCATGTCCACGGCACAAGCCCCTTAATACCATTAAACAAAACCCATCAATATTATTTGCCCGGCTATTCAAAATATCTCAACTTATTGATTTTTCTTCTATTTAAACTTTAGATCAAGAAGGCCATCTGCGATAGCGGAGCAAGCCCCTTCATCACCAAGCAAACAGGGGTCTGGTGAAGAGAAGTTTTCAGATAGACTAGATCAGCTAGAGAACCACATATACATGAAAACGAGACTCGATCAATTACGACAAGAAGATAGATTATCTCGCATGGAAAGTGCTATCAATATGTTACTGGAGGAGAAAGAATAAGTCACTTGTGATTGCAATGTGCAAATTAATCGCCTACAGGAAATTAATGTTGGGCAATTTTCTAACATAACTGATTCTCAATAGGCTAACTCTAAACCAGCAGTATTTATCTTACAGAGAAAGTAATCTGTTTAGAGTCAATTTGAACTACGTAATGGTGATTGGGTACAGGCAATCTGCACATTAAATGGTTTATATTTGGGCGTAGAGTGAAATTGCAAAGGTACTGGACACCTTTAAATTTAGCTGCACTTAGTATAAAGAATTCTCTATATTTTTTGTCATGGAATTACGCGCGGAATGGTGACATGATTTGTTTACCACAGTAAAATAACATGCAAAGCAATTATTTGTATCACTATTACATTAACAACTAAAAGGACACTTAAAGTGGGCTTACTTTGTTGAAACTGATAGAACTTTAATTTGTTGATCATTGAGTGAAACAGATAAAATTTTCTAAGGTTTTTTTGATTCCATAGAATCTCTTGTAATTTAAAGATAAATGCGATAATTGAATTTAAAATTATTTTTAAAGGACGTTTTGAAACACATTCAACTCTGTCTGATTCATACAGGTGTAATTCGGACTTTTACTAATTCGGAAGAAATTCTCCGGACACTTGAAAATCTCTGAATAAACCTTTACAAAAACCTCTGTAATCCGGATCTCTGTAATTCAAACCTTTCGTTATGCGACCAATTTTGTTGATCCCTTGTGGAAAAACCAGAGTTTTCGAATTACACAGAGTTGACTGCAGTTATTAGAGGGCAATTGCCCCTCCAACCCTAGTAACTTAAAAGGGTTATGCTTTATCAAATCTCTAATAAGGGTTATGCTTCATTGGAGTGAATTATTTTTAAAATTAGTTACTTTTGGTATAATTGTTGCAGACAATAATGTTGCAACCCATTAAATCATTAAACTTTGCTATAACAACTTTATGCTACTGAAGAACTACATTTTCTGTAACCATTGTGTATGTCGAAAAATATTTGATGAACATTGCATTGACGCAGCTGGATCTGCTATATAATTTTTGCATGACGCCTGGCCTGTTTTGGAAGAAAAGCGGTAAGCCAGCTATCTTTCATTTGCATCCTCTTATCACAACTTATCATTTGCATCCTCTTGGTTGCCAATGTATGCATTTACAAACTGTATCCAACATACCAAATCAGTTAAACATTCATGTTTACCAGATGTTTGAAATCTTTTTAAGTTCTCTTACTGTTTTTTATTCTTGTCCTCTCATTGTTTTTGCTGCCTGAGATTGGAAAACATTTTGCATCTTTGCATGTTATAAATGTGACTTCATTGTTAGTCTTCTCATCCCTGTTGTTGCACATTATAGCTGTGTACCTTCCGAATGAATCAAAAGTTAATTACACTCAGTAGAAAGGAACAAAAATATGCTTGGCTCATTAGTAAATAATATCTTTTAAGATGTCTGCTTATCAAGCCTTGGTTTGTTACTATCAATTCTTGCCCTCAAAAAATCATTTGAATTTGTTCTTGGCTTGTATTTCAAGACAGTGTTCATTCAATTGTAGAATTAATATGCAAATCAGCTTTATAAATGATCTCAGAATATTTAAGCTGCATGAAAGTGTTTGCATATGATGAAGAACTTTAGTTCAAGAGTTTCCTCTTAAAACCTTGTCGCTCGATTCATTTCACAGTCTGTGACAGAGTAGTATGCACTGCAGACCAAACTCATCATTGAAGAGTCAGGTCTACCTCCTACTCTTCCATGAGAATTCGAGGTTACGGCCCAGGCTAGCATTTGGTTGGATTCACACAATCTCGATACATTTGAAGGAAATTCTAATAGCTTATTTATCACGGACGCCGTTGTGAGCGCAAAATTTTTCCTAAATTTGATGTCGTGATAATTTTTTACATGCTGGCATAGTGGTGTGGTCAAAAATTTTGCTTCAAGCATTTTTATTTTGAACATGAAACCTGAAGTAGACCATCCTTTGCAGATAAGCTGAGATATTGTCAATGAAGTATTGGAAATTGCTTATGGGTTACAGTTACTTAGCCTCAGGTCACAGTCATTAGAAACAACGTCAAGTTTGATCCAGAAATAAGCCTGCGTTCAAGTGGTTATCTTTAATAGATATATAGGCCGAAATGACCCTTAATCTATTACAACAGAACAAAATGACATAAAACTTTAATAAAGAATTTGAAAGGCCACAATGCCAATGATAGGTCGCATATTGCAATATTTTGCAGATTTAAAGCGATCTCTTCAGATTCAACTAATATTTTGTGTATAGAGGCATCTTATGGGATTATTTTAAAGAGTGTGTTCTGATTTCGAAATCTTTCAAAGTAGCTTTTATCATTACATTAACAAAAGCGGCGACATAAATGCATTGCAATAGTGGTTTCCTTCTATTGAATCCATTGACAGTCCAGTACTTGATAAAATCAGTAAATTAAATCCATTTTAAGGATTTACTCTACTGATTTAAATGTTAATTTTAAATGTAAATAGTTGAGTATATATGACAGGTAATGCCATTTTCCCAAAAGGATATGATTTAATGTGCTATACAACGGCAAGATATTAATATTGCATTAATAGACATCAAACTGCCTAAACTTAAAAATTAAGACGCCCGAAGAAACAACTGGAACACTTGGGAGACATGGGTGGTGAAGATAACCATGCTTTTTCTTTGCACTTTTGAAATTTGCTGACAATGTATAATTTCTCCCGCGTCTCATGGGACAAGGCAGCCATTCAATTCAATTTGCCACGCGTACAGCCACATAAACAACAACACGGCCTAGGCGAGAAGGCGGCAAGTGAGCAAATGGAAAGTGTATGTGGGTAATAGCTCTTTTGAGAACAGCTTGCACCATGAAATACTTTGGAATGAACTACATTTGATTGAAAATTGATATCGTGGATTGAGCGTCTTTTTGTGTGCGATTGTATTTGGACGCTTCATCTCAGTGAGTTGGTGAAAGCAAAAGTCGAAGAGGTTTAAGAATGGTCCTAGTTTATTTATAAAATTTGCGAAAGGGGAACAGGCAAAATGGTGAAAAACAGCGTTAAGATGTTGTTCAAAATATTAGCGGTTCTACAATTTTTCTTTCCTGTAAACTTTATTTATTGTAATTTGCTGACAATTGACCATCTTCCTAGTTATTTAATTGAAGACATTCTAACCTTGCCGGTTTCAGTTCAAGTTACAAATCCTCCAACAGTTATATTGGTCAAAGTATATTTAGAGAGTTCAATTGGTTTAGAACAGATGTTATTTCATCGGAAGTACATATTGCATAAAGATGGTTGTATAACAGCTGTTTTTGATATACCAAGAAAATATTTGTATTATGATTCAAGAAATTTGGACCAAGCAACAGACTACTTTGCAAAGAGTTTAAGGTCACATATATGTGTTTTTGATAAAAGAAAAGGAAATTGTGCTATGAGTGAGGAGGTTAATATTACTTTACCTGGACCATTTGATAGAAGTGAATTGCCAACATATAGTAATTCATGGAGTTTTGAGATGATCAAGCTCAAACAAAAGAAGATGGTTCCATTGTGCCTTGATATAGCTGGTATGTCTTGCTCCATAATTACAGAAATTTGATGTAACAGAGGAAAATTCACAAAAATGTCTAAAATGCATGGGTCCTTCCCCAACCCCCATAATTATCGCTACTGGGTAGTTTTATGGATAATCAACAAGGGAAATGAAACAAGCAACTCAACATGCCAATTGGCTATGATTTCTATCCAAACTTGCTAGCATGTACAAGAATAGCACATTACACAGAAAATATCTTTCATCCAGAGGAAGTATGGCTCTAGTTCCCTATAGGGGGCAGTCTATGCTTAAATGTGGCTTTTCATGGTAATAAAAAGGCTATTTCTAAATGAATAATATCTGATACATTTTGTTTCTCTGAGAAAATATGTTAACTGTCCTTTTATTGCCTGTAAAAATAGCACCAAAATATGATTTGTTCTTCATCTAACAAATGGCAAACAATTCCCTCCTCTCCTGATTCTTCTTTTTTTTTCTAAGACTCTAGTCATACTATAGTTAATCCAGGTTTGATACGAAACCACACATAATTGTTGCTTTGAAGGAAATGTAATATTGTGCCTATAAATCAACTTCATTTTTATTACTTTTAACTTTCAGATGTTGTAGAGTTGACATCAACACCATTGGCAATTTCTGGAAAACATGAACAAGGATTTATAAAGTAATGTAAATTTGCAGATTTTTATGGCTTTTGCCTCATTTGAATTGTCAAGCTCTTCAATTTTATTTTTTGCATGTCTGCTATCAAAATTCTATGTTGCGTAATTAATCAATTCTCTCCATCCACTTTGAAGTGATACTTAGAGATTTTATAAAAGCCACTCTAAGGTCCTAAATAGAAGGGGGAGTCTTGATAGTTGGGGGGGGGGCAAATTTTTTTCAAAAAGTAAATAAGCAGGGGGTCTTAGTTAATGGGGGGGGGTCTGAATGTGAAAAATCTGGAAAATCATGTGATGATTCTTTTTTGGGGTCAAATAAGATTTTCTTCTGAATACAATCGATAGCAAAATGACAATTATCACCATGTAATAATGCATTGTTGTATTACTAAAATGAGCAGACTAATTATCATTATGTACATCAGCCAGGCCTATGTAATTTTTTCGGATGCTATACAACTTTTCTATGTTAAAACTTTTGTACAATGCAACCTCTTCAATTAAGAGAAACTTAACAGAAATTTCACACCTGAAAAAACAAAGGACAAGTGAAATAAGAGATATGAATGACTGCATAAAAAATTAATAAAATCCAAATGAGCTCCGGTGGGGTCAGAAAAAAATTAAAAAATTAATAAGCGTCCCCCTCTTCTATTAAGGACCTTAGAGTACCAATCTGTCACAGCCCACATCAGATAGCTTATAATTAGCAACCCCTCACTTTTAAATTTCATTGGTTTTTTGTCACCGAGGGATGTAGCCTTTTCCCCCAGCCTATGTTGTCCTTTTGAGGTTTTGATAACATGGGTTGGTAAGTATGTTTAGACAATTTGTAAAAGCCTCTTTAATCTAATCTTTACTATTACAGAAAAATTCAACCAATGAAGTGGCCAACTCATGTCCCAGAATGGGTAAAAGATGGTGTTTTGTCTAGTCCAAGGTAGGAATTCCGTTTTCAATTCTGCATGTCACCCTAAAATCTATTAATTAGGGCTAAATGACGCTTGGGTTTGGTTGCCAACTAGATTTCTATGTATGTGGGGTCAATGCCACATATGAAAAGGGTACTAAACTTGATCCACTTGTCGCTTTTGCAAGGCAGACCCCATAAGTGAAATGCACATCCTTTGCATGGAAACTCATGTTACCTTTCAATGTTGGATGCAGCCAGACTCAAAGCTGCCTTTTTTTCATATTTTCGAGAATATCTCAATGCTAACATGTCACATAGAGGCTACATCAATGCAAAACAGTTATCCTTCTAAAAGGTCTGTAATGAACTTTGTCAATTATTATGGCTTTGGGTATTTATGTGATGGTATTTATTGAAATGTTCAGAAATTTGCTTAATAACACATTCTGAAATATCAAACCAAAGTTTATAAAAGCACAACGTTATATTGCTGGCCAAAATATTGATACATTCATTGTCTTCAGCAGTCTCATCATCAATCTTCATTTCATTTTAGTTTTCTTCCAGGGTTGTTGCTAGCTATTGTGCACAAGGGGATTTCCATGTCCTATTTGCCAACCAAGTGGGTGAACCATCCTCATTTTTGCAATATTATTTTTTTCAAGGAGAGTGCCACACCCCACACCCCCTCCCCCCTTTTATAGCGATGGGCCTGTTTTCTTCATTCGCTGCTGCATTTGTTATTGATCATGGACCAAAATTGTGTACCTTTCTGTTGTATCTTGATTAAATCACCGTGGAGCTTATTAATATGCAAAAATTAGGCGGATACTTATACGGGGGAAAGCATTCGAGGATTTATGGTATATTGATACTTTGTTTATTTTCAGGTTTACATTAACATTATGGGCCTATGTTTCGGAGCCATGCCGCTATGACTTTTGTGAAATTTTGTCACATCGTGATTCCCTGAATTTTCTCACACCTGTCTTGTTATTGACCAAAGCAGGTATGTTTGCAAGTGTCGTTAATATGCAGTTAAGTGTATGAAACACAGAAATTGTCATGTCTAATCATAGGCAATAAAGAAGGTTGCAGGCCTATTGTGTTCTCAGAAGTTTTTCTCGAGAATTGCGGTCTTGTGCCCAGTTGATATTGACTTTGGCGAGTTTTTCGAATCATCAGGAGCTGCAGCGATCAGTTTTTGCAAGAGTGGTCTCTTGCTACTTTTGTTATTGATTCTTGCTACTTTTGTCATGTTTCTCTGTGCCTTTCAGTAATATGCTTGTATATAGTTACATAAATACTTCTGATAAGATGGACTCTCTATCGCAGGCCTGATCCATGTGCAAGTTCACAACAGTGAAGGTTCAGGAGAAGCTTTTGTTACCAACCAACCTGCACCTTTGAAGGAATGGTTTTACTTAGTTTTCACTTTGAATGGAAATGAGGTAATCTGAAAAAACCGTAAGAGCTCTTTTTTTATGAATTTTACAAAAGTACTTGGTTGTCTAAACGTGTTTTCTCTGTAGCGTTTACATTTTTATTTGGATGTTTATTTGGTATTAATTCATGATCACTTGACATGCTTCTCATTTAGGCCCAAATCAGCATAGGAGACACAAAAAACAATGATACTTTTAAGAAATATTTTCACAGGTAATTTCCGGTATCATTTGAGGTTTTCCTTCTTGTTTTGAACCCTTTTATTTATTTACTATTGTTGTTGTTAAAGAAAGGAGGCATTATCCTTGGAAACACATTTTTACAAACGTAATATTTCTGCCAGATTGCAAGGTTAAACGTATTGAAAATCCCATTTCAATTTTTTGTCTTGCTTTGAATATCTCATGGAGCATCAACCTTTTAAAGTTGCAGATTAAAAACCTAGATCGTTAGGCGAATAAAAAATAAACTAGAATGACATGACTTTCCTATTGTCTTAATTCCTCGTGTCGAATGTAGATAAATCGTTGCTTGGTGATTATATGAAAACATTTGCCGTAAATCTTCGAATTAGCCCCCTGGGGGCATATTTATTCTTGATATTTTTGGATGGGGGCTTATTCGAGGGGAGGGGGGTGTTATACAAGGGGAGGGGGCCTATAGAATTATTGTAGACATTAAAAAGACATTATTAAAAGACCGCGTTTATTTTAGTTGGAATTTCTTTATGAGCATTTAATTAATTACTACCAAAAGTATGAATTTATTGTGGTAATTCAATAAAACGCCATATAGGCAACCTCAGATGGCAACAATCATCAAATGGAGAAGTCCAATTCGAGAATTTACGGTAGCAGTAGGGCTTATTCGAGGAGGGGGGCTTATTGACAATTTGTAGTTCTATGGTGGGGGCTTATTCGAGGGGGGGGGGCAATTCAAGGATTTACGGTACGTAGATGGAAGAAAGAGGATATCTCAATCTTCAGATGAATCTATTTTGTAGGTTCAATTCACTTGAATTCAAAAGTGAGGCTGGTGTATGGAATATTGGTGGGTATTTCGGATTCGCTGGCATCCGCGGTCTGGTGTGTTGCGTGAAGCTTTATCGAAGGAAGGCACTGCAGCCAGAAGAGGTATTATATCAACGTTGTATTAAAGACCTTACCCTCAAGTTTGAGTTTTAGACCATACAAATACTGCCAGGGAATTTAGATAATTTTTGTTACATTGTCGCTTTGATAAAATCTCAACGCAGTGCTCTTCAAATCTCTTCAAATGGCAAGTGTGTCATTTCCAACTTCTTGCATCACGTCCTATTTTTGTGCAGGGAATATGGAGCCAGGGAAAAATGTCGTGTATATAGTTTACCTTTGGTAATCGCGACTTATCTTGACTAATCTTGACCAGGGACGGGAATTGACTGATATGTTTTGGAGGGTGTGGGGTAACCTATTGCAATTTTGTATTCTTATTTTACTAATTCTATACTTACAGAGCTTTAATATTATACTCTGCCGTTTCCTTTCTGAGAATTCAGTAAATTCTCGGAATTAGCGTTGCATAAAATTTTTCTCTGACGCAAAGAAGCATTGACAATCAAGTTATCAAGTTTTCCGAATAATTCAAAGAATTTAAAAGACTGAAGGGAGGAGGGGGTGCGGCACGGCAGACCCCCACACACCCAATATTTACGCGCATGATCTTGTCAAAATCAAAAACTATGAAAGATAAGTACCATGTTTCGAGCATAACTCTTCATTACTGATTGCTCGACGTACAGCACGCTGATTACTCGACTAAACTCTTCGTTGCTGATTACTCGACACGTAACACGCTGAACTACATTGATTATCAATTTATATAAAAAAGACCTGCTTATATTGTTGTGAAGCTGCAAATAAAGCACGCAAAGGAAAAGGAACTGCAAGGAAATATCGAAGGAATAAATGAATTAGTGAATTGATAAATTTAATGGGCCTTGCCTAAAAGTCGAAATTTGCTACTGCAAGACTATGCAACTTTTTTGTTAAGAATGCTACCCAATCGTAAGTAAAGTGATTTAACATAACGTGAACTTTATTTGTGTTTTGAATGGCTACCCAGGAACTTAGTTTTGAAGCTGATCTTCAACATTCAACTAGATAGCTTAAACCAATGTTTAGCTATTTTTCTCAGAAGGTCTCAAAAAGTGGCGGAAAATGCTGGAAAAATGGTTTGCATGCTAAAATGCCATTTATAGTGTCTCTTAATGCGCGTTTATCAACAATTTTGCATGCAATTTTGAAAGTATAAATCGATGTTGTCCTCATTACCGAAAACTACAAACGTTAAAGTTCTTTTAAAATAGCTAAAGCTGTTCTTGGCACAGAATAAAATGCTCAGACCCCCCTTTCGGCGTCTGATCCTAGTTTCGTGATTCCCAGCTCTCTTAGAAACTTAAACAATGGCCGTTCTGTAGAGATTTTTATTTTTTATTTTTCTTATTGAGGTCTGCCCTGCACAGTCTTATGAACTTATTTTGCCAATTTTGCGACTTTTTAATACTTTTGTCTGGACACCAAAAGGATTGTTCCAACTTGACTTGAGGCTTACACACTTACTTGTGAGATTAACTAAGAATCACTGTTTGAAATCGGTGAATAATCTGGTCCATACTGCGAGTATTCAATCTTTTAAAGTGATAAGACATGGTTTGGAAACAGATTTTTTTCAATTGCTTTCCCAAAGCCTTAAATGCAAAATCACTCTTATTAGGCTTCATGTTGATCATGCTGTGAGATCTCCACATGCAAGAACTCAGTTCATTGGTTAGGAAATTTCTACCATGAATCGAGCACATGAAGACAAGAAATTTTTTTAATTTGCACTTGAGAATATGTTATTTTTTAACATACACGTCTTTGTAGTGGACACTTAACAACAAACTAAGCGATCGCGTTCTAGAAATTCATCTCTACCTCCAAAAGCTTGTAAATGTAACTTGTAGGCAATGTACAGCTATACACAAAGGACAATTACGGTAGTCCTACGTGTGTCTAAAATTACAGTACAGTGTTTTTATGGACTCAGAAATATTACATACAGATTTGTAGTTGTTCGATTAAAACTTGATTTGGTAAAATGATTAGGAAGATCTTGATATATTCTTTACTTTTATTGAAAAACACGCTGCCTCATGGCCTTTGAAGTAGTGAGAAAATACAAAAAACGACTGAACGCTATAGTTTTTTAACTCTTTTCAGGCATTTGCTTCTCCACCAACCCCCCCTCCCCCTTTTTTACGAACCTAACTTGAGGGGTTTCGAAATATGCTATAAGTAGGGAATTTGCTTCTCCAAATAGCGTCACTTTTTGTAAGAGAGCTGCTTAATGCCCTCAATAAACATATCCTAAAATACAAACTGGGATATTCCCTTCTTGCATAGATATAAAAGTTTATTTCTATAGAGCAATTTTCAATGAATTGCAACTTCATTATGCATTATTGACAAGTTTTTCTTTAATATGAAACTGCATCATAGTATTCGTCTCTCGTCCTCTAGATAAACACCAGAGAAGAAGACAAGAAAATCTTCACAGCATATAGTATGTTTTCTTTATATCCAGACATACCTTTATGTTACATTCAAGCAAATTTTTTTCAAGAAGGTTATGACGTGTAATGCTCTTACTTCGAAAATTAGTTACCACCAAACAAATTTGACAGACCACGTTAGATCCAAAATTTAAAGATATAATAGCATAGTGTTGTGCCTTTGCGAAACCCCAATCAACATCTAGAAGGGAATGTTTATAGCTCATCGAAGTGCTACAAATTCGCGTTATGCAATGAAATCTTGCAGTTTTAGTTAAAATCTAGTTTTAATTCTCATTCGACATTACCGAAATATTACTTAGAATATCAATGGAAGTTGATCTAAACAAAAAGTGAAGTAATCAGGACCTGAACTCAACTCCGATCTCAACAGGCATGTCGACCTGAGCGGAATTCTCTGCAATCTAAAAAATTCATGACCATTATCAAACCTTGCCTCTTGTGGCCTGCGAACATCAACATATGGCGCAAACATCAGATTATTGTGGCAGCTCTTTTTTCTCATTATTAAAGACCAGTTTTCAAACCGTTACTAGAGCAACAGTTAAAAATCTAATCGAAAGAAGGTTTATGGTATTTTTTGCAAGAAATGTGCTATAGCTTCATGCAATAACGCTTTGGGTGTCAAAAATAATCATTGTTTTTGGCATTTATCTTCCTTCTTACATGCCCGTACCACCACCTCAATCTGTCCTCACTCCTCACTTAAAAACGTTCTCCGCAACTGCATAAAATCTAATTTCGCGTATGATCATTATCTATTCCGTATCTGAATACCAACCCCCCCCTCTCCCCCTGAAAATGCATCATTAGCAGGTCATACAACTATGTCCATGTTATTAAGCTTTTCGTTGGCAGTTTTAGAATCGATGTACATAAAAAGCCGCTTTATTTTAAAATGAAGAAGTTTTTTCACCTTTGGACTTGGACTTCACCTAAAATTTCGTATATACAGGCAACACAGAGTGCGCGACTCTTAAAGACATCTGCTTCCATTAATCGGCCTATTTCTATATAAAACTTGTTATATACATATATTCCCTAGCTTAAACGTTTTATACTCTGAAGAGTGTCACAAGAAAAGCTTAGTTTTAGAATATTAAAATGATATCAATTGTGCCTTTGTCACAGATTTTGCACATGTATCTACATATAAAAATAATTTAAACTAACTATTTTTTAAAATTTTGATAGTGGCATTTTACCTCGCAGATTTTCCAAGAATTTCCTATCGCTGCTCATTAATTAGACGCAGATACTACTACCTCTGGAGAAAATATGTGCTCACTAAAACGGCATGTGTGATCCAAAAGTTCTTAAATGTGTATGGAAAGCAAAGATCCCGGAGGTTACAGTGTAGTCAACGAACATCTATTCCAAGCAACCTCCAACCCTCTGTTGATCTACTTGAGAGCTTCTTCAAAAATGGAAAGGCAGAAAAAATAAGGAATAAAATTTTATTTGCCAAGCAATTAAATATTCGTGGTTTGAATAAAGTTGTAAGTTTTTGTGCTAAATTCTTTGTTATTTATTGATTGCGTTAAAAAATTCGCCAGCATATTTTGATGACTTTTTTGACTGAAATAATCATGAATCTTAAATATATAAATAAGGCTCCATACTCAACATATCATAGACAGTACAGCACAAGGTCTTTCTAATTTAGCAGTCATTACTTTTGTTCATTATACTTTTTTCAGATTTTGTATCCAACAAATGCAACTCGTCTGCTCGAGATATCTGGTTGTCTTGGGTATCTTGAATCATTCGTGTCCTCTTCTATCTCAAAATATTTTTCCCGAGACGATTCTATAAGCAAGAAAGAGGTATAAGCTTTGTTTGCTTACATATTTAAGTCAAACTTAAATTATTTCCTATGGGTAAAAAATATGCGTTTAGAAAACCAATATTTTGCAATATTTTTGTTTCCAGTGCATAGATTTTGGACGAAGTAGCTTTTTTTAGGCGAGAACCACTAAAATGATTAAAACTACACGCACAGTAGTCGTTTGTCGTTTGTGGTATAGTTATCCTCTTTGGATGCGATTAATTTAGCATCATGAATACTCAATGCAACAAATATATTCTTTTTAGGCCATATCAAAATTGTTTTATGCTGCAATACAAGACAGTGAGCTGGCCCAGCTTGCATTGTCGTACAAGCACCAGCTTGGCGTTGATGACATGCATAAAGATTTGAACATAGCTGCTGGTAAGTTGTTGTTGTTGTTTCGCACATTTATGCAAATTCTTAAAACATTGCTTTATCGATAAAGAGCCTTTTTGAAGAAATGATATGAACTGAAACATCATCCCTGTAGATCTAAAGAAATATCCGATTAAAAGATGAGGGGATCTTTATTTTGTAATTGGAAAGTTGACCCATTTCAGTACAAAGTAACAAGGACCGTAACTTCCGAACTGTGTTTGTTGACTTACCTGATATTCGTAAATACCAGATGTAGAGAAGGCGTTTACGGGACAACACTGCACTCTAAGATCTTATTACAATGTTGTTTAATAAGGTGTGGATGTCATTGAATTTTGAAAATCTAGTGAAATATTCCAAGATGTTCATATGAGCATGTTTCTTAGTCTTCAGTGATTATCAAAATTGTGCATTATCATTACCTCCCGTAGAAAAGAAGAAACTTTATCATTATATACCTTATCTTCTCTAACAAGCAGGGGGGGTTTTATTGATTAAATCGATAGCAAATGGTGCTGTACGACTTATGGTGGATGGTGGAAACAATGGTCTTGAAATTTCAGTATAGAAATTAAGTGAAAACATTTAACAGTGCAGCTGCCTATTCAAATACAAATATTTGCTTCGAAATGCTCGATGAAAACGATACATGTTGCCAATCAATGAACATTCTGTCCGTAGATCATACACTACCCCGCCGCTTCGTGCCAAAAATATATTTTTAAATTAAGTTTCCAACTGTGGATAATAAACGCATCGGAACTTTTATTTAACGTAAATCCTTCTGGCTGTGTCCCATGTCGTTGCGAAGCTTCCATTCTTTTTTTGTATTTTTGGACACAAACCTTTTTTGAACTTACCGTAATGATTTTAATGATCTTTTATTAAATGTTGTCTTTTTTTTCTCCTTGGTGTTTCTCTGAAAAGGGTTCGTAAAACATTCTGGGCAATTAGCCAGATCATTGCAGTCTTGTCCTGTTTTTCTGTGAAGGAAATTTTGTGATTATTCTCGCTTTGTGTGTCCTAGCTACATAAGCTCTTTTTCTTAGGAAAACGTTCATATTGCTGAGGCTCAATGTTCTTAGAAATTTTTGGTTCTGAGCCTAAAATATTTTATAATTCAATTTAAGTGACACAATGTGTAACTTTGGCAAGAATCGAGAAAGGAAGTTCAAATCTTTGCTACTGTCTCTTTTTCATCGTGAAAACATGTTAGGAAGTGAAATATACCAGCAAAATACAAGCTAGACGAATGTTCCACAAAATTTTTATTTTAAAGCCATCCTTTGATAGAAAGTTTACTCAAAACACTGGATTTAATAAAAATTCAAACTATTCTCGAAATCGTGATCGCTTTATCTTTTTGAATTGATTTATTTAATTTCATCCAATTTTGAGTCTCAAAATTATTATTTTTTCTATATAAAAGACGCGCACATCCTTGAATATATTTTATTAAAAGGTGCACAGTGCGCTCGTTCGAGAAATATGCCACGTTCAGAGCAGACTTAAAGGCGAAGCTTTCCTTTTTGATCTTTTAAGGGTACTCAAAGGCTGCTGCAATGGCGGTGAAAAAGATTTTGGAAAACGAAGAGCAGTATATACACGTAAGTGCAAATCTGCATCTAATGTTTAATGATTGACTCTTTTCTTGGCAATAAGTAAACGTAATATCGAGTTGATTGCAAGAAGTAGAGCTAGTTTGTATCAATATGCTTGCACCATAAGCTTCAAATAATCTTCCTATTTTTCATGATCTACTGATTAGCGCTAATTAGATTGGGGCATTTCTATCAAATAAAGCTTCTTTTTGCCACAGACACATTCGGAAATGATACGATTAGATGAGGCGCATTTGTATGCAGGAAAACGTGGCATGTCTTCTGATGTGATGAAATGGTTGAAGAGACAAGCTGATTGGGGATCCACAGACGCACAGGTTGGTTTAAACGCTTTTTTTAAAATTATGGCCAATTTCTGCACAAAATGGATGTGAATATGACTATTAGGGGCATTAGCACATTTCCGAAAGCGCTTGCAGGTACAAATCATATCGCTAATATTGAGAACATAACTACCCCCCCCCCTTCTTTATCTCACTGTAGCTAAAGCACAAAAATCCTCCCTCCACTGAACGGCTACTTAAAGTTACTGCAACACTTGCATGAGATGCAAAATAATTTTGTAAGTAATGTAGTATTTTCAAGGGTTAGATTTTGAAAGGGGATTTTTTCAGAGTGCCATCAAAGACTGGCAGTCTTTAAGAGAAGGCTTTTGGCTGCGTTGTAGTTTGATCTTGTTGCATTTTAGAGTAAAATGGCAGATATCCTGTTTCATGGGCAGCACGGCATCGATGCACAGAGGCACGAGGCAGTCAATTTGTACCGAGCTGGAGCGGAGCAAGGCGATGCGAATTCAATGTATAATTTGGGAGTGCTTCATTTACGGGTAATGACAAGATGAACACTTTGAGTTGGTTATTTGAGAGCTGGGACGTACCATTGTCGTAGAAAAGAAGGCTACAAATACTCTTCAAGATTAAATTGTTTTCTTAGTAAAGTCATATGCTGTCCGTTCTCTTCTTGATTATTTTTCGTGCTTTTCGCAACTTAAAATTTCATCAGAGTACAGAAGTGTTGATTCTAACTAGTTGCTGTCTAGTTTTATGGCGATATTCAAATCGGTACTTGACCAGTCAATGTGTCAGTATAGTTGCATGTAGAAAATTACCTATTAACAGAAGATCGATACCTGCTGACCTCTAAACCGATTCCAAAACCCTTTCTGATCATTGATTATATAAATCTGCTTAGACTTTTTTGATACCCATGTCATTGGTTTCCATACACTGTAGTTATCTGGCAAATCCTGTATGCAAAGACAATTTATTTCAACAGGAATTTTGCCCCCTTATCAAAGACTAGCTGGCAGTTTTCCATACAGTTTTCCACCACTTTTGGTCCAATGCTCTAACATTTTATCTATTTAAAAACCTTCTTTATCAATAGCATCATCTATTTTGTAATTACCTTCTTGCCTCTGTTTGTAATTTCCGTCATTTTTAAATATTTTGTTGGTTGTGAGCTCCAACACAGAAGGTGTTTCTAACAGATTTTGATTTGAAATTTTAACTTGGACTCTGTTTTAGGGAATTGAAGTGGACAAAAACGAGACGAAAGCGGTGGAGCTTTTTCAAAAGGCGGCTATGAAGGTAAGACATACGATCACACAACGGATTTTGTAGGTAGCTTGAAGGTGATAAATATATTCGTATGAAACTTGCTGTAGCAATTTGAAACCGTCCTGTTCTATACAACAAAGGCGTGTGCAGCTCTGCCTAAACGGCATCGAAGACTTTGTTACAGACCGGTATACACTAATCTTCATTAAGTATACACATGTGTACTTTTCAGATGAATATTTCGTTGATAAATTTGCGTAGGAGTTGTCTTAACCATGCTAGGTTTTCTCTAGACAACAAAGTCATTCCTGTGGCTTCTTACAATGCAGTAACTATGAATTTGAGACGCATTCCCCAAGCTAAGCAAAGTTCTCCTATATTTTCTGATATATCCAAAGCATTAAGTATGTCGTACTGGCTGAAATTTGTCTGCAGTTAGTCCGCAGAATACTTACAGGGGTATCAAGAGTGTTTTAAATGGTTGGTCATGTAATAGATAACATTATTTATTCAGAATAAGAATAATTGTCTGCGAAGCTTACAAGATTCCCTAGAATATGAAGCTGCGCTGTTGCTTTCTAAACAGACGGAATGTGTCATACTTGAATAGGCAGAAGGTCTTGAGACAATCAAATTTTTTATTTTGCAAATAACCAAGAACAACGAAATTACGTCAAACCTCAGTATACTACCTTTGTAAACTCGTCGAAATCAAATTCTACCAGTTTTATTCAGGCACGAAGCCAGCACTTAAAAGGTGGGCGGGCAACAGGGGCGAAGCCTTAAAAGTTTTTTGGAGGGGTACCGTATTGCTTTTTGCTGAGAAAAAGGTGTGTCTCACTCTTTTTGGGTGTGGTCATAAGATAAATAATTTTTATGCTGCCTTTATGTGTTTCTACTTCAATGTTCAGAATCAAAGATCAATTTGAGGCATTTTTAGTGCCATACTTTGAAAGTTGAGCTGCTACAAAAAGATTATAATTATACTACAGTTTGAGAAATAACTAATATTATGTGCCGACAGACAAAGTATGGGGGTAAAGTGCCCTCCTTTAGCGACGCCCATGGCGGGAAATGCCCATGGCTAGTCAACTGAGCGAAGCGAAGGAGCTCGTTGCTTGTTGTTGGAAGGCAAGAACTTAAGTAACGGTATTGAAGAGCTTTCAAAATTCAATATCTTGCAATTAATGCAGACTTTGATACAGATTCAACATCTTGCACCGGATAAAAGTTTTTTGTAATTTTCTTATTTCTAATTTGTGATTTTTGTAGATGAGTATTGTTATTTTTCTTCACTGGCGATTAGAAATGCAAAAATCTGAAGATAAGTCTTGTTTTGTATTTTTGTGCTTTTTTTCATGCATTTCTCTTCTATTTGGTGTAGAATTACACAATCGCTTTCAACAGTCTTGGTTACCATGAACTCGTTAACAGAAAAAACATATCTGGAGCACTACATTTCTGGAGATTGGCTGCAAACATGGGAGACAAAGATGCAATGACAAACCTTGGTATCCAGTATGAAAACGGTATAACTGGCGTCCTGGAGTCAAATAAAGTAGGTTGATTTTCTTCATTCTCTTTGCGTTTTTATATATTTGTGCCTAATACCATTGTCTACCTTATACACGAGAGCCTTTGAAATACCTAGGCTGCCTTTGGGCAGCAGGTATTTTCTTTCGGGTTTGTAATTCATTTTTCGAAACCAAACTGCAAATTTAAGTTCTTACCATTTGCCCTTTCGTCTGCTCACCTTCTAGACAAAAGCATTCAATCTGTTCAGAAAGTCAGCAGAACAGGGGCAGAAGGATGGCTGTATCAAATATGCAGACTACTTGATTACAGGAGCGGCTGGTGAATTTAACAGCTTTCTTGCTATAAGGCAGGTGTTATGTTGTATTGCTTAATTTTGCTTCTGTGATTTTTTGGTCTGGTGAATGGTATGTGCTTTAATGAGTTCTGTAGACAAGGTAGGCGGGCATGGAAAGAAATACAAGATGGTCTTCTTCTCTGTTATTTCCTATTCCCAAAGGGTCTGTTTTTCAATTGTATTGTTGTGAGGATGGCTGGATGATATTTAAAAATGTCTTATCAAATCTCTCGCAACCCCAATTTTAAGTCTAACTACGGCATCTCTGCTTTTTCTTATTAGAATATTAAAACAGTCCATTTTGAACTCATTTTGAGCTCCTGTATATTTTTCTCATCAACTTGTTATTTCCCGTCGGTCAACCTGAAAAATGCCAACGACGTTTTATTTTTGCGTCGCAGGTTCTACCGGTATGTCGCGGAGCAGCTCCCAACGATCGGTCTTTACCTGCGGAATGCTTTTGGTTCATATGAAGAGGGACAGTGGTAAGGAGCAAGCTTAGCTTCTTTATATGCTTGAAGTATGTAGTGCTGCTAGTGCTGCCTTGGGTGACGATGGCAAATAATTATACACTGTTACGAATGCTTCTTTGGGTGACATTGTTGTTTATAATAGAGCTCTCCCCAGCACCAAATATCTCCTTTAGTGACTAGGTCGTCACTCTTTTTGCAAAATATACATCGAAGTTTTTGGTGATGCTTTATTCGATGGGTTTCAGATTGCGTCGTAGCGAATTTTTTCAATATCATCAGATTGAAATGTTTATAAGAATTTCGTTGATAGGTGGAAGAAAATTTTCTTTTTATCTAAAACAGACAAGAAAGTTTCTCTCTTTTTCACTAACACTGATGCTTGATGTCAGCTCAGAATTAGTTTTGAGAGACAGGAAAACTGCAAAAAAATCTTTTGGTGGTACAAATTTAAAAATGGCTTTTAAAATAGCAAACATTTTACAACATGCTGAACGTGTCAGACGAAAAACTTAATTATGTTCTAAAATGCTTACTCTTTTCTAATCCATTTTTAAACACGAAATTAGTTGCTCGATGTTGCTATCAAGATTCTAACAGGCTTTCTTCAAAAGTTTATTTACATTTTGGTTCTAAACGCTAGCTACTTTTTCTGCAGGAACACATCTCTGGTCATGTATATGACAGTGGCAGAGACTGGGTTGGCTCTCGGCTCTTACAACACTGCTTTACTTTGTGAGGAAATGCTGGTTAGTTCTTACTGAATGTTGGTACTTTAAAGTTGTACTTTCAGGGGACAGATCTATTCTCCATCTCATTCAGGAACGATATGATGTATAGAAAATCGCCAATCACCCCCTGGAATTCAGTTGTTCAAAAAGGTTCAATTGACCTAAAAAACGCAAACGGAAATTCACAGAAACTTACCAGCCGAGGAAAGAAGTGTCATACGATGCAGGAGCTTACGAATTTACTTTGGGTAGCTGATTTCTTTATTGCCCACGGCCATAAACACTTGGCCACCACTGCATTAAGAAAGCCTGCATTTTAGCTCAATTTCTCATCAATTTTCATTTGCAATTCTTATTTGTTTTAATGATTTTTCTAGCCATACCACATGAATACTGGCTCATTAGGTGGCAACTGCTCACTTCACTTCTTTAACATATCTGCAAATCTTGGTTGGCCAGCCTGTAAGTAGCATCTCTCTTTTATCATTCTTGTATCTACCCTCCACCCAACAGTGAGTGTGTGTCTAGGCTAATGCGGTAAGGACAGCGAGTGATGGGATCGATCTCTTACTTATCATGTAATCTCAAACCCGCCCATCTAGAGCACCACGAGTTGCATTTTCGTCTGCTTTTGTCCACGGGCTGTTCTGCAATTATCCAAAGCCATGACTCCTTACAGTAGCTACTTCAATGATGATTTCAAAATAGTTTTATACAATATTTTTCAATTGGGTGTGTACTGTATTTTTACTACCGACTACATAGTTTTACAGTCCAGCACTGCAATAGGAAATGAAGAAGAACTTAAACCGGTTTTGCAGTTTAAGAGAGCTAAATTCGTTTAAACGACTATCATTCCGTTTCGTTCTCCAGCGATTGTACGAATGGGTGATGAATATTGGTACGGAGACAGAGTTGAGGCCAATTTGACCAAAGCAGTTATGAATTATATTTGGATTACGAAAGACCAAGATTCGCCACAGGTAACGAAGCTCGTCGCATTTTCCTTCTTTTACTATTTTTTAAGTGCTCTAACGATAATAGAATATCTAATTCATCTTTCTTCTTCATCTTCAGCTAAATTCCGTTTTGCATTTGCAAAGCTTCTTGTTTAGGAGAATGACTTGATAAATACCGCTAACTGTCATAACCAGAGTTGCCAGATGCTTGAAATGGTTGGCAGCCAATTATTTTACACTTGACGGCCAAATTCGGTCAGCCAAACAACAGATACGAAAAAGCTACATTTTGGCTAATTCTATTGTGTAATAGTGTAATCACAGATTGGCTTTGTTCACCACAAAAGCTCAAACTTTCAATTTTAATTTTCTGTTACCTTTTACTTTGTTTCTTGCTTCGTTACTTCGTTAAAACGGCCAAATGGCAATCCTGGTCATAACAGTTTCTGTATATTTTCAAGCATGTATATTTTCAGCATTTCCTTTTTCTTCTTGTTTTAGGCCCTTTTCAACCTTGGCTATCTGATAGAAAATAATATCTCAATCAAGGGGATTAATTTTGGAGACACGTCCGGTGCAGGTTATGACCGAAAGTCAGTGGCAAAGCTTTATTACCAAAGGTATAAAGACAATATTTTGATTCTTTAGGCTGGCATGCTTTCATTCAGTATCGTTTAATCTTTCAGCTGACCCCCAACCTTGCGTTAATGAGTACATTAAGTACCAAAGACAGGCGCCAAAAGTTTCGTAGGATTAATTTTTGGTGAATAAAATTCGGTTAAAATTTTGAAATTTCGGTGTAATTTCCGGTGAGAATTTAAAAATTTCGACGGAAAGAAAAAATTTCGGTGGGTGAAAAAATGAAACACTTTCTATAGGTTATTTCTATTTTCAAAATAAAGTTTTCTGGAGCGCAATCATAAAAGGTACACAAATCGAACATTTTGATGTCAGCCCAATAAATGGACGGAAGAGTAGGCAAGAAGGTCCTAAACGTTTATTTAGAAGAGGTCTTGTTCGCAATATTTTCCAAGGCGTCCAAATTGAAAATGTAGGAACGTTAGAAAGAAATTATTGAAAGAAATAATGAAAAGACAGTAGAAGCATCAGCTCAGTCCATGAAGAATTTAGATTTCTTGGGTGTAGAGGGCGAAAGAGAAGAAAGTTAAAATGAGGTGGATATCTTATATGTTGATGACGAAGGAAAGCCAGAGACTGACATTTGAGATGCATTGGATGTATAGTAATATTATAACGATATCAATGAAAAATTTTATTTGTTATTTTGAAAGTCCATCGACGTAAAACGAGATTTTTCTAGTGTTAGAGAATTTCGGCAAGTTTCACAGAAAATAAATCCCATCGGAATTTTTTTGTACTTAATGTAGTTTGTCTATTCGATCTATAAAGCAAACAGGTATAATATCCTCGGTGATGGTTTGAATGTTTTAAAGTTCTATATCTTAAAGAGTGTCAAATAAAAATCTTAAGAATATTTTAAAGTATTTCAATTTCTGTACCGCCATAATATTGCTTGAATGTTTAATCGTGTTTTATATGATTTTTCCAAACAATCTTTTGGTGGTACAAAACTTGTAAACGGCTTTGAAAAAAGCAAACATTTAGTAAACTAAAGCTTTTCGTATGACACTCTTCTTGGAAGTTTATGAAATTCCCGAACTGTCAATATATATATATATATATATATTATTCCACTCATGATAAATTTGGCTAAACTTCGTTTATTTCTTTTTATCTAACCAAGAGACCTTTAGTAAACTTGCTACTGTTTCTGTTTTTACCACGCTACATCTAACTGATTAACATCCTAGATGCCAGAAGTCTCTGCTAGACAGTGGGGATGGCTACTATCCATGTACAATTGCATTGATGCGTATAAAACTGAAGTCGATCATCCATGAGAACCAATTAACCGTGGTAAGTACTGCAATACCTCGCCGTTAACTGCTTGTAACCTTGCTGCTAACTACCTGTAACCAGTCAGTCAATATTAAATGGCTGATCAGATAAATCTTTGCAAGATTTGGGCTTTCCCTGAATGACCAGTAACCGATCGAATCTTGTAGTAAGCTTGATCGTTAGGGTGAGACATGTTTTCGCCCTGCGCTTTCGCCGTATAAGCACTTTACTTGATCCGTAATTAAGAGTCACCATTAGTTTTATGCGTGTGGTTGTTGCTGTGGATGTTGCTATTAGCACTGTGAAAGTTTCTTATTATCAAACTTTGTTTATTCCAAAACTCTGCATTCCAAAAAACAGGTCAAATCAAAATAAACAATATAATTAGCCTCACTCAAACATTGGCTATGTAATGACAATGATAAGCAGCTAGTAGTAAATTTTTTTATTTAAAGTTTGTATTCATAAAAAGCTAAAATAAAACTAGTGCAAAATTAAGCCTAAAACTAGACAGAAACGTCTTGGTGAATTATGAAACAAACCTGCGGCTATACATTTCTCTGGTGGACAATTTGATGACTTAAAATTTACAAAGTTTCCAGTGTTTCTCTTACTTTTATCGATTTTTGAATGAAACGTTGTACAGGAAATCCAGTACAGGCATAAAATACAAATACTATTTAAAGCTGTTGTCGTGAATTAAAGCAGATATGGATTCTAGTGCTCTTTTGATAATATATATCCAAGGTCACGAAAAAAACCAATGGGGCAATTCTTTCACATTTAATCCATCGCTAAAATTTTAATTCAACGCTTCATTTAACAATAAAAAGTTTCCATTTCAAACGTCATTTACAAAAAGCTAAACTATCATCAAATTTAAAGTATAAAAACTGGTTTTATTGATTTTAATCGCTGTTATAACAGATCTTTCGGTTCAAAACTTTTCCTTGTTAACCAAAGGACCTTCAACAAACTTGCTACTTGTAGGCTCCTCCTACATTGTCTTTTTCAATACCTTTTTCGTATTGACCACGCTTCTCTTTCTCTGCTTTCGATTTTTCCGAATTGCTGGCTCCTTTGTGGTAACTGCTAGCATCGTTATGTTTAACAGCCTTGCTATCTTCATTTTTCATAGTATCATCTGCTACAGTACTCTTTCTGATACACGTAAACCACCTCTGCAAAAGAGGGTGCTCCTTGTCTTCTATGCGTATTTTTCTTAACAGCTCGACAAACACGCGGAAGTGATATTTAACGGCGTTTGCCGCGCAGAACACGCGAAATTTTGACGGCTCTGAGTTTTCTGTATTGATTGGAAGAACTTTGTCTAGTAGCTGTGCATCTACATTCGTGTGTAAAGCCAGTATATCGTCACGAACAAGTCTGTTTTTCCCTTGCAACCCGAGACGATAAAGAAGCAGTGGTATTAGTAGCTCATTGTACGAAACAAAGCCTTTATCGTCTGTTGGTATATTGAGAGTAACAAGTTTTGCAAATATGGTACGTCTAGGGCAGTGTTGTCCGAACCCAAGAGGAGGTGGTAGGCGCCGCATCAGTGTAATGATGTAGCTGGAATGGATCTTTCCTGATTCATCAGAATCAAATTCACGCCATAGGCCCATGAAGTGGTGGATATGCTGACAGTAAACTACAGACGAATCCAGTGTCAAGTACATGAAGTTGTCCATGATGACTGCCAGGAATAGATTTGTAATCATAAAAGCACTCAGAAATATAAACGATATGTAAAATGGGTAGCTGAGCAGCGTACCGCAGTTCTTTGTAGGCGCATCAATGCAATTCAATGAATGCATGTCAGAACATGCTGTCATCAGCTCCCGCCAGTTGTCCAATGTAGTCGTCCGTAACAGTACAATCAGAGCTGTCATGAAGTCTTGAAAATGCACTTGTCGATTCAATGGGTTGCCATCTTCAAGCCGAATTCTTCCAAAGAGCTAGGAACGAGTTTGATTTCAATGTTTTTCCAATTTAGTTCAATGCATATCAAAAATCTACGTGCAAGCTAATTGGGTTTCTAATAGGTAGCATTAACTTTTCTTTTATCATGTATGTAAAAATTTCAGTTGTATAGTTATGTTTTTGATGAGATTGTAATTCAGATAAAATGTAAGTCGTGAGCCTTAAATAGCTGCTATATTAGCTGCTTAATTGTTTGTTTTTCTAGCCTGCTGTTAATAAATTATTGATGTTGATGATGATAATGCCATGAATTCTACTCGGTGTACTTTTATCAAATGCTACCTTTGCCTTTAACTGTTTAAAGCAATGAAATGGAAAGAACAAAGACTGAAGCTCTAGAGCAAACAGCGTCTAGAGAAAGGATGGGAAAGCAATAGCAAACAATTAAAATTTAGCAATTACGCCGAAATGAAGCTATGAGATATCAATTATGATAATGTCAATGTAGCTTGGCAACCTCGATGTTAATGAGGAATTCAGTAGAACGAGGACTGCACAAGATTGAGCAGTCTTGAGCATGCAGCGGCCGTCGGCCACCAGCAGTTAATAGTGGCAATGATAATGTTGATGATGATGATGATGATGATGATGATGATGATGATGATGATGATGATGATGATGATGATGATGATGATGATGATGATGATGATGATGATGATGATGATGATGATGATGATGATGATGATGATGATGATGATGATGATGATGATGATGATGATAAAGGAAATTCAGTCTTTAAGAACTTTAACTATGAAACTGAAAAAAGGTTCCAAAGGTTCGGCACAAGGTCTTATGCTACGAAGTACTACATATATTAATGGAACTCAGTTTAAAAAGATACTTGAATAATGCTCACCTGCATCCCCATAACCGCGTAGATGTATAAAACCAAGACGACTAGAAAGACGATACTAGGCACTGACTTGATTGAATCGAGAAATGTCGCTAAGATCTGCCTGAGATTACCAGTCTTGCATATGACTCGGAAGATTCGTATGGCTCGAAACAGACGAAACACTGTCAGGTTTATATAGATGTTTATTTCAAAGAACAACAAAGTGATATCGATCCAACTGCCAATGACGAGGAGAAGATCCAGGGTCGTCCAAGGGTCTTTAAAGAAGGGTTTAGGCGTCATAGCAAATAGCTTTAACAAGGATTCAACAGTGAATAACGAGGTGAAAAACAAGTTGGAAACCTCTTGCATTGTGGCGAAAAATTGTGACTGACCATGGTGTTTCGTCATCATAATTATGCAGTTCAGTGTGACACAAATAAGAATGACGTATTCGAACGGGGCCGACTCGAGGTAACTGCGAAGCCGCCTCTGCAGCCCATTACCATGTTTCCCTGTCGGTACTATCTTCACATTCAAAGCCAAGCGAATGCAGTCTTGAGCTTGTTTAGTCAGGATACAGAAGCCCTCTTGCTTGCCTCTTTCGATTTGAAACGCCACGGCCACAAACCCAACGAATACGTTAAGCATTATGAACGTCATCACAAGGAGAAAGGAGATAACGAAAACATACGTTGCTGCTGATGTGACGCCGGTATAGTGCTGCGTGATGGTCTGCATATCCGTGGTCCAGTTATCCAGCGTACTTATTGAGAACAAAGTCACCATTGCGTTCAAAACATGGTTGAAATTGAAATCAGCATCCTTGCATGTCATTGTTGTCGTCATCATTGTTGTATTAGGCAACATTGTAGTGTTCCCTGTTGTTGTTGTTGATGATGTCATGTTTGCAGTCATCATGTTTTCATTTTCTTGACAATTTTTTAACTTCCCCGAATATAACTTGACGCCTATAGAATCAGAAAATTCCTGTTAACAGGATGAGTTGATGAAGAAACGAGGCATTTCAAGACTCATGACTCGTGCTAAAACAGTGTCAAAGAAACGGGTTTGAATGATAAAATACCTTCAAGAGCTTCTGCTTAATGTTTCCTAAAAGGACGTTACAATGCCAAAAGGAACATCGCAAATAGCAGAAAATACTTCGAAAAAAATAGATTTAGATTTAGGTACATTGTATTGTAGCCACTTGTCCCTCAAGGCTGTTCCAAGAGGCAATTTTCGCACACACTTATATTTTGATTTCGACCTGCCTAAACATTTAGACGCCCAATTTCGAAATAACAAGCATGGCAGTTGTTTAAAACCAAACAAATTTACCATGCTTTTATTGGTTATTACTTGCTGTGAAATAATTTGCCGCTAAAAGTAGAGCTCTTTCCCTCTTTCGTGCGTGTTTTCTGCGAAATCAAAATCAAAATCGCACATGTGTTCATATATTTACAAGCTATTCTGCTGCAGAATTTTCCTCGTGGAAATAATCCTTAAAAGTGTTTCAATTGTGGAATTTTTCAAATATGTTTATTCGTATCAAAACTATCTTTAGGGGTTGGTTTTTTTTATTCATAAATCAGTATATTTAAATTTGTGTTGGATTTAATGACTTTGATACTCGTGAGGAGCAAACGAGATTTCATGGAAATCTCGTACATCTTAGATGGAAATCCAATTGTTTTTTCTAAAAATTATAGAAAATCTTTTTCTTTTCGCTAGAGATGTCGTATGCTATAGAGTTCTAAAGTGTGACGTCACAAAAAATTATTTTTAGAATTTTCGATTTTGACCACAAAACATGAAAGAGCGCCATAAAATAGTCTTATGTATGCAAAATCAGTTAAATGTGTCGAAAATCGGGTGAATTATAGCCAAAAGAAAATTTGAAGTTTACAAACGGATTACTGTTATTTTGGCTCAGTTCATAAAGTTATGAACTGAGGCCAGGTTATAGAGGTTTGATGGAGCCAGAGCTTGTGCTCATCTTGTCATATATCTGCCAATCTGTAATACCTTTAACTGATTTTGCAGATTTGGGGGTATTTCTTGATGCATTTTCAGGTTATAGGAAAAAAAAATTCAAAAATTCTAAAAACATATTTTTAAGACGTCATCACTTGACAACTCTATTTTCAGGAGTAAATTCGTCCTCAGATATTTGTAGGAATAGATTTATCAGAACTAGGTTACAGCGAATCAATGTTTACGATATGCAGTTTTCACAGGAGTTTCAAACTTACCGATCACAGAGTATATGAACAGCAAAGATACATATAGCAGGAAATAGTTGAAGATCTTTGCAAAGGACGCCACGAGGCAATCGACGACGTATCGTAGTTCTTGCGATATTTTCATTGCGCGCAACACACGTAGTACTCGCAGGACTTTGAGTTGCAGTGGCAAGTTGACTCCAGCCTCTTCGATACACAGACTTGCTAGGGATATCAGTGTGACAATGATGTCTATAACATTGAGCTTATCTCGCAAGTAGCATGCTGGATGCCCAATTACCAATCCAAATGCAATGATCTTAACAAGGATCTCTGCCATAAAGATTCCTGAAAGATATTTATTAGTTATCAACTGTCTTCTGTAGACATTGAACAGTTAAATCTTCACCACAAATTAAGCTTAGCTTTCATTTAACGACCCCATTCTTTAGAGACCAGTAATCGAATTGCCTCTTTGATTTAAAAAAAAGACTTTTTCGCAGATGTTTGTTTTGCCATAATTTATCAGAATCAGCTGAAATTTTAAATCTCTATCTTGTAAAAAGTACTGTTTTCTTTTTAGCGTGCTAAAGAGAATCCATATCATTTACCGAACGGAATAAGCTCTATAGGCCAAACGGTGAAAGGAGGTGCATTTACCGTGGGGGTAACCCAATGGGGAAATTTATGAAACCAAGTGAACTTTTTTAATCTAGGGTTGCTGCGTTCAAAACTTTTGGTATAAAGACGGTGACTGTCGCTTTAAAACTTCTTAACTACCCTAATCCTCATCTCAGCGAAAGTGGGGATGCATAAGCCCAAAATTCCCTACATGCCATTGCATTTTGGGCAAATTGATCATTTCTTTTAACTTACCTGTGAAAAGGTAGTCGCAATAGCGCAAGCCTCTTGTTAACTGCTTATCTCTGTTCAGTGGGTCTTCGAAAGCCAATAAAATTGTACTGATTATGATTGATCCTAGGCACAAGTTTAGAAACACAGCATGTGTTGCTGTTTTATAGCAAGCTATCCGAATCTTATTATTAGGCGAAAAGATAAACATCGACCAGTGTTTTGGGATGCCATCTACTTTCTTTGGAATGACTGTGTCAGAGTGAGCTCTAATGGAAGAAATCGTACATTGGTTCTTTTCCTTGTGTTTATTTTTTCTTTCAGGATCTATGCCTCTTTCTTCTTTATTTATTGGCTCAGTTTTTCTGTCACTTTTTTCGGTACATGTTGTCCCTATTGCAGGGGCTGGTTTAGTTCCACTGCATGACCCACAACTTGAGCCATTCAAAATGTCTTGGAACTCGTTGTATGACGTTCTTTGTGACTCGGTCTCAGTTTGCTCTGCTTTTTTTCCATCACCATCTTCATTTATCGCATTTAAGTCTTCTTGAGTTTCATTTGTCAGGTTTTCTATCATAATTCCAAGAAAGATATTCAGAAGAATGAAATTTCCAAGAACTATGAATGACAGGAAGTATAAAACAGGAATGATGACCCTCGCTTTATTACGTTTCCAGAATTTGTCGACCAGCTCTCCCATCACCCCAGGCCAGCCCTCGCCAGTTAACAGTACAAATACAAGCAGCATTGATTCCTTTGCATCGGCGAAAGACCCAATTCGATCGTCCGAATGCGACAAATAATTCTTGAACAAATGGTTCCCAAGCATAGCGTAAATAAACAGCGTTAGAAGCAAAACAATTAGCAGGCTGAAAATTGACCGTGAACTTCGAATAAAGGAATTTTGCATCTTAAGCATCGAGTCTCCGAGTGCAGTGCCCCGAAACAGCCGTAGAAGACACAGTGCCCGGAGGACACTGACTCCAGAGTTCGTATGTCCGTTGGCATGCTTATATATGATATCAGCTATGGACCAGAGCACGACAAATAAATCAAGAAGACGAACTTTGACCTCTAGATAGTGGTGGAATCCATACATCCAATACCGTAGTAAGTGCTCCAGGCAAAATATAGCGTTACAGACTATGTTCACAATATCCAATTTGTTTTGCACGTTCGCTGGTATCTTCGTCCCTGAAACAGCAAGGCAAATGCTGTTTAGCGCAATAACCGCCATCACCGAATAGAAAAAGTGTTTCGAATCGATTACTGTCTTGAGTGCATGTGGAGCTTTTGGACACGGTACAATTTCAAAGTTGCATTTACGTCGATGACTGCTTGGTAATTCAATGTCAACGTCAAGACCGATGCTTTTTACATCTTCATTCAATGGGCAATCATTATCATTATTTTCTGCATTTTTTTCAGCTTTTAATCTCGTTCCACCTGCCCGCTTCCTAATAAACCATTTCTTTACTTCAAATATTGCACCTAAAAAAGGAGATGGCGAAGTTAGTTTGGTACACCTTGCTCGAGATGTCAGTAATCATAGACGTAAACTCAGGGGGGGGGGGGGCTCTGGGGCTTCAGCCCCTCCTGACGAAAACTGAGGGGGGCTGAGCCACCCTTGGAAAATAAGGAAATGCTTTACCAATTTTGAGATTAGTTTGTTATATTATTGGTTTCACGCATAAGATTTGTTGCATTAGATAATTGCGTTTACAGCAAAATAAAGTATGAAATTATTGTGAACATAAAGTCAGATTGTGTGTTTCTTCTTCCTCGATAATGAAAAATGCACGGAAAAATCACCTTTAAGCCCTTAGCTAATCCACTTTCTATCCTGTGACATCGGCAGCTGCCATTAGGGATTGTCATTAATTTTCTGAGCCCCCCCCCCCCCCTGAAAAAAATGCAAGTCTACGCCTATGTCAGTAATGTCAGATTATGGTCGAGCTATTGCAAAGAGTGGTAAATTTTGATCGGTTACGATCATCATCAGCATCAATCATCCTACTCTTTTTAACATCATATCATCATATCATTGTATAATCACACCATCGAATAATCATATCATCGAATCATTATACAATCATACCATCATATCATCGTACAATCATCTCTTCGTATCAGCGAATCATCGTATAATCATATAATCATATAATCAGATCATCCTATCATCATTCCATGGTGATCAACTCAGAAAAAGAACTTACTGTGTAGTTTTTTTAAGCTTGCTTGGGTTGATTTCTGCTTGAGGGTGACAATATCTTTCGTTCTTATGTACTGGTTTGTCAGCACACCTAGCATCAAGTCAAGGCTGAAGTAAGCACCAAGTAAGATTAGCGAGACAAAGAAGATGCAATGCCATTGTGATCCCATCGCATCGCTAAGCTATTGATAAGGAGAAGAGAGTTAATTTTTAATAGGTTGAACTAGGTCTTACCTTTCTCTCAAATTGTTCAAAGTTAAAGTGGATTCAACCATCTGTTAAGGTGTGAAGAACAGGTGCATTCATCTTGTTAGGTCTTATCAGCAATGAAGTAATTTAAGAAGTAGCCTTTTGTGTGAATAGGTAAATCTGTGTAATAACTGATTGTTTTTTTGAAAGGATCCAATGGTAAATCAAATGGCATTAAAAAGAAATTAATATTTAGAGACAAACTGGTATTTTAAAAAATATGTTACAGTTTTCTATATTTTACCTTGCTGGGCAACCGATCATTGAAATCTTTATTTCTAGCATACATACGTGATAATAAGCAATAATCCAATCTTCCAACGTTATTATTTGGAATACTGTCAGTAGTGAATAGCCAATGTTGTCGAATGACGTCATCCCGAAGTTAGGCCCAGTCCAGTTTCCAACACAGATCGCTGTGCTTCCACATTGTGTGTCCGCTTTGGATCTGCAAGCTCTAGTTGGGTCTGTCAAAGTTGCTGTTTCCAGGTCCTGACAAACATGGTGGAGCTTTCCTTTGAAAATTTGCAGTCTGTATGAGTTATAGTTAAATTGAAACAAGGAATCTGTATAAAATGATTAACGTGGATACCACCGTATCGGCTAAGGACAGATCTGATAGTATACAGAAATAAACAGAAATTTAAGGATGCAAGTTGTGGTGTAGATCTTTAATGAATGACCTGTATATGTCATGTTGGTATTCATTGATAGGATCAGAGGTTTCCCAATAAATTATCTTATTGATGGGAGGAGCAAAAACAACCATGTAAAGGCATTTTCTCGTATTATGTCATGTCTGTTAAAGTGACATTAAACGCCGTGTCACGTGAGCTGATGTCAGTCAGTCTAACTTATGAGAATTTGTTTTAACAGTATGTCAAATTCATAACAATATACAATATGCAATATGCAATATTGGCAGTCAAGTATATATTGTTGCTACATAAACACGTCGCAATTTTGACTGTGTCTAATCACCACCACATATAACGTGCTTTATCAGAATGTTGAAATCAAGATAATGCTCTGACATTTTTTGCAATTTTCTGCAATGAAGCTCTCACTTTTTGGAAAATTGAAAGACTAGAGCTAGTAAGTTATGATAATGTTATACTGTTAGCTGTGAGGCAATGGAACAAAACTTTGAATTGGTTTGTATATTTAGGTGTCATTGCCTTATAAAAGATTAGATAGGAATTTTTTGCCAAAGTCTGCTCAGAAGGGCTTATTACCGCTAAAAAGCTCCAAGCCAACGATAGCGTAAAGCATGAGTAGCAGCAATATGAAGACAGCAACGTGGAAGAGTGCCAATGAAGATTTTAGAATGGCGTCCAACACAATTCGAAGCTCTTTTGCAACAACGAGCAGCCGTAGCGGCCTAAATATCCGCGGTAGCCGTAGAATTAAAAGATTTAGGTCTTCTTGATCACCAAGAATTGTTTTGACTGAAGCAGCAAAGCCTAGAAAACGGAAAGACTCCTAGAAATCATTATCAAATATACGAAGGAATCTAAAATATCTTAAAAAACACTACTAAATTCCACAATGAAAGCAGTTCATCTAGTGTCCCATCCGACCAGTGCTTGTCCATTGCTCTCTGGTATTTTCTATATCTCTTTATTCGTTTTTCCCACAACGTACAGTATTCTCTAAGGGACTTTCACAAGTGTGTTCGGTTTCTAAGTTTGTATCAATTGAATTTCTGATATGAACAGTAACTTTTGATATCATATTTGTTGAGAACTGGTCTAGCCATATCAATGATTTCACCTGCATTAAATTACGATCCCGTATTGAGTCTCTCCCCCCCTCCCCCCTCAATAAACTGATCCACATTTTTTCCTTTCCTCTTACCTGTTAAGACGATACTTGCATCTAGAACATTGAGTGGATCTCTAAGGTATGCTCCAGGGTGCAATATAAAACCGTATGCTATGATCTTAGCAATAAACTCTATCAAGAATATGCAGTTCAGAATCATATCCACGATAATAATTGTCGCTGTTTTGTTGACTCCAATCAAGCAGCTGCTAACAACAATGGAGATTAGAATCAAGGCTTCAAAGCTTGCATGGTTCACAAGTTTGATGCACATATGCCTGAAGCTGTTACTCTGCTTGAATACGAATAAGGAACGGTGCCTGAGTGCTTTTCGTCGTGCAATTCGGCCTTTGATTGTGCGCTTCTCTAGTCTCATGACTTGCTTTTCCATAGTTGATGACTGTGTAGCCGCCATTATCATCAAATGTTAAACCAGAAAGACTCCAGTACTATCACTTCTTCTTCTGCACCTTTTAATTAATATGACGTCATGTATGCTTTCACGTTGATTTTACCTATTGATTAAACGTGTTCCGAAGCTCTTCAAAAAGAGGTTAGAAGTGATCATACGAGGCTCCTTATCTTTAGTTTCCTGATCTATAGATCTGATTTCGTAATAATTTAACTAACTGGAAAACATAAGAAAAGAAAGCCTGTTTGCACCATTCATAACCATTACTGGATTCTCAGAAATTCGACGCAAAAATCAGTGAAAGGCCTGCTGGAAGTTCACTAACCTTATGTCACTTATGTAAATACTGCTGATCACTTGTTGGTCCCATAAACAGTGCTGCAGGATCGGGATGCACATTCAATGGCATTTGGGAACGCTTATACGAAGAAAGAGATACCGTTTAAACAATTCCCCTCTTAAGTTTGATATTAAATATTTACTTATATCGTGTTTTTTCTTCGCAGATATTCCTTGGTGTTGCTGTAACTGCCTGTTTTCTTGTGGCCCTCTTTACCGATGACGAAATTTAATTGCAAGATGCCAATCGACATTTTGTGAAAGAACAGCTAAAGCAGAGATCATAAATGAAGTAATTCTTCTAGCAGCAGTACCAGCTGCTCGCCGACAGTACTCAGTAATAGACGGTACTTTTTTGTTTCCACAAACTAATTAACTTGTGAGTTTATTTAAAGCCAAGTCACTCTGCCCCATACCCTTTGAAATTGAAGTTGAGATAAAATCATTCATAATCCCTTGTTGAATTTGCATAGTTTAGCATTCCTCGATCTTATTGGCAAGCAAGACTGGATTGAATGAATGTTTGATATATAAGAATTTTAGATACTATTTTTGCCAGAGCATATCTTAACGTAGTTTTTAAATATTTCTGTACTGTAAACCTAATCATACATATTTTCAAATAATATTGATCACGGAGTAACAAGTCTATTGATCACCAAGTAACAGGCGTTTTTAAATGCTTAATGATTGTCTTGTTTCTAGTTACACTCTAATACTTAGACATAGGGGCCGGGGGAGACCATTTTTTCTTCAAATTGAAGGAATCTCCTTTTGTAAGAGAAAGGGCACCTTTTGAGAGAAAATTTGCCCTTTTTGCTACATTAAGAGACTCTTTGAAGGAAAAATCTATATTCTGGCTGCAGTTAATTATAGTAATTGTTTCTCTTGCTTTGTGTATGGGCGTGGCATTTTGTAGTCAATTGCCATTTTTTGGCCCCCTACTTCTGACTGTCTTCCCACGATGCCTATCCATCCAAGTGTCTGGACAAGTGTTCTGACACCTCGGGTATAGAGTAAATAACATTCAGAAAACACTTTTGTAGTTGTCATTTGAAATGCTGAAATGCTTCCATGTAGCGTTTTCAGGGGCCCCAGAATACATTTTACAGACAGCAGAATTGGGTATACTTTCGATCCCGAAGCGAAATTTTTTAATTTTTCAATCGGGGAGACATGAAACGAAATGTCCTAGGGATGCGAAATTTACTCGTTTTGGTTAAGTGGAATCGTTAAGCTTTTGTTTTTTTGCGAGAAATTACTCATTTGAATGACCATTGAATGGTCTTTAGAAAATGGCAAGTCATGTCTTGGATCTGGTATGGTCAACATTGCCTACCAGATTTTTTTGAAAAGTAGTCTTTCCCCTTAACTCCAACTCCCTCTTCAGTATTCTGAACCTTTAACGTTTTTCTCGCAGCTAGGAAGTTGCTGGAGTAGCTCTCGTATAAGGAGGGTCTATCTGATGAGAGATACACTCTTTTTTTTATAAGAACCAGTAAATTTAAGTTCAGGCTGATTGTTCTTAATTTTTTCGAAAATCTGAGGCTGGATTGTTCTTAATTTGTTCTTAATCTAATAGGGTGTAAGCAGTGCGAGTGCTAGCTTTTTCGCTCTAGGGAGGTGTTCAGGCCTCATTTGTCAACAAAGTGAGTGAGAGAACCTTCATTTGCCGAAAAGTTTGAATATTCGATGAAAAAGCACCCACACATCGCTCAAAATCCTCGATTTTGAGAAAAAACGTTGTTCAAAATTGCATTTTGCAGAGCTCAGCCTCAGCTTGTTCTTAATTTGTTCTTAACTTTTGACCAATTTTGAGGCCCGTGTTCTTATAAAATTGTTCTTATAAAAAAAGAGTGTAAAATTATATTGCGAAATTCGTTCAACCAGCTATTTCAAGTCATAAAATTTCTAGAAAGTCTAGTGTTTGATTATTTTTCATCGATATCTGGACTGAAACAAGCTTACTGAAAACAGTCTGGCTATCGCTCCTTCAACTTTATTGTCACATGCACAAATTCAACATTGACGAAACTACATTCGCAGCCTTGATCTTTATTTGCCGTTCAAGAAGGTCTTAAATACCATTTATCTTGGCTTCTTTTTGATGAGATGAACTCATAAGTTATATTTGGCCCATTTTTTGTTTCGTATTTTTTTTTCTAACTACTGTTATCGGTCTTCTGGTATAAAATATTTCCTTATCGGAGTGTCGCAGGGAACTTCCCAATGACCACTCTTTTTAATTTTCAAATTAATGTACCTTAACTACAAAAAATTTTGTCGTAACATAATTTCAGACAAATATTTTGACGAAAATTTCTTCGACTAAATTCGAAATGAGACGAAATTTTGTCACGACGAAATTTTTTGCATTTAAGATTCTGGGAATTCGCAAATTTATGACGAGGTCAAGAATCAAATTTATGTATCCTTTTGATCTGTTCCATATAATTTACGTCATTTTCTCATTTACATAATCTTCATAATTATCTTTATCGTAGGCATCATCATCATCATCATTGTCATTTCTTGAATTAACTTTCCTTTTCACCATCGTTCAATGAAAATAGTTCTAACTCAATGGCGTAACGAGAGGCGGACGCCACCCCTAATGGCAAATAATCTCTTTGGTTTGGTTTAAAAAATGGCGCTATCTTGGGTCAAAAAGTGTTAGGAGGACGCCACCCCTAATGGCAAATAATCTCTTTGGTTGACTTGCTGAATGTTTCCTGTTCAACTCGCCTTTGCCCAACCCCTCCCCCCCCCCCCGAGTCTCATTATCCTGGCTACGCTACTGTTCTGATGTGTTTCGTCGCCGGTTTCAAAGGATTCTACCTGTCTTTTCTAACTAAACTGTACTATTTCTATTCTTTCATTCGTTCAAGGTATTTGCCTTTTCACCCAAATTTACAGGGAGTACCATTTCGAGACCAACCTTTTCTTTTGGAGATCTTTCCGAATCTTATACTTATATTCACACTAATCACTTTAATTATACTCTGTTTATAAACTTCCATGCCTTAGAGATATAGAGTAGAGACTCTTTAAAAGTATCTATTTTGACTCCACCCTTGCATTAACTTAGGATATATACCGCTTTAATTTGGTTTTTCCTGACATGAGGTTCCGTGTGATAAAGATGTTTGGGGGATTAAGCCAAAGTCCAAACGGGTGATCAAGCCCCCATGTCTCCACGAATTCGGCACCCCTATAGGATTAGATACAAGCAACCTGTATGGGTTGTCACTTAAGATTTTAGTAATAAGTTGCTATTTTTGTGTTAAAAATCCACGAAGAAATTTTATCACAACGAAATTCTGAAAAGTTGTCCGAAATTTTTTTCGACGAAGTTTATTCGCCGAAAATTTATCTGACGAAATTTTTTGTTGCTAGTTTATTCTCTTTGGCGGTATGCTGAAATGGAAAAGCAAAAATGTATGCTGAAATGGGAAAGCGGGAGATAGGAAAGCAGAAATGGAAAATTCTGCCTTGCGGGAATCTTATATCTTTGTACCCTTGCTATCAAAAATAATTATCGATTCTGTCATTCAGTCATTGTGAAGGAGAATGTAACATTCAAGGTGGGAAGGAGGTTACCGCTGTGGATCAAGAAATTAAATTTCCTGTTTTTGGAATTCTGGAAGGAAAACAACAGCGTACGGAATCATTTATTGCAGTGAAATCGTACAATCATACCCAAAGTCAGGTAAGCATTTGGTACAAATCTTCGCTGTTTTTATCGGAACGCCAACTTATTTGACAGCTGCTACTGCAGTTAAAACCCGCCACTCGCTACGTAAATAGGCTAGGGTGACATGAGAAAGATATTTTCCAAGTTTGACAGATAGCATTGTCCTGCAATTGATATATAGCTATTTACTCCCGTATCTGTTTGATATAGTAACAAGTATAGTCGATTAATACTGTTGGTATTTGTGTGCGTGGACATATTCGTCCAAGAAAATGGCAGTCAGCTCTCGTTCCTGCTGTTTGTTGGCTCATTGCTGAGCCCGCCTTGGACGTTTGTTCATTGCATAAATTAAACCTGCAAATATATGATTTACCTGTGACTGTCATAGACAAAATATGTTTTGTTATGAAGATGAGTAGTGTCCTTATCAAGGCTTATTCAAGACCAAAGTAGCCTATATTTGTATGTAAAACATTTCAAGTTTATAATGTTTTCATATCAAGTTAACAACAAAAACGTCTGGGCTACAGTTTTTTTTCATTGCTTGTCAAGTTTCAAATAAATGGGATTCATATTACTTACAAACATGATCTCGATTTTAACAACACGGAATTTCCTTTGGATTATAAAAATCCACGAACCATTATGGAAACAAGAGGAGGTTATCCTATTCAATCAAAGGGGTTAGAAATTCCTTAACTTTAAAACATAAAGTTACAAATATTTGGCTTTTGGCAAGTGAATCTGAACCCTGCTGTCCACGAGATATCTGTTTTTCACGATAAAGACACTTGAACATGATTCTCTCACCGCTGGCATTCCACACTCTACAATATAAGAAAACTACCATTCTTCCTACATACTATACACTACAGGGCCATCTGAACCGGGGGGCTTGGGGGCTGCCCCTGATAATTGTCAAACTGTAGTATATCTCCTTTATAACAGTGTACTGAATGAGAAGGAATGCAATTGGCAGCTCTACAAACATGAATTTCGTTCCAATAGCACTGCTATATGGGAATGGAACCTTGCATGTGATGTCAGTTAACAAGAAATTTTGTGTGCATATTTGCTTCCAAGCTTTCAAGACTAAAAAAGTATCAGGTAGCTCCATAGTCTTGACACTAGTTTTTGAAGCTTGGGTCAAAAAGCTATTAAGATTTTTATTTTTTAAACCTTGATAATAAAAAACGGCAATGATTGATTAATATTCAAGTTAACAAGCCTTGCCAATTGCTGACCTGAGAGATTTTTGTGATGATAATCATAACACCTCATGTAGTGTTTGGCAGGTTAAAAAATGCACTCAGGTACAAGAAAACAGTATATAACTTTACAAAATGATCAACCATCTTCTTTTTTTATTTTCCTTTTGATTTTGCAAAATGATGGTTGGTCATAGTCAACTTTCTTTTTTTGTTATACACTGTTTGTGATAAGAAAATTTTTTCTAAGAACATGAACCTCAAAACTTGTCAAAAGTTAAGAACAAATTAAGAACAAGCTGTGGTTGAGCTTCTGTAGAATGAAATTTTGAACAACTTTTTATCTCAAAACAAGGGTTTTTAGCCATGCTTCTTTCAGTGAATGTTCAAACTTTTTGGCAAATGAAGGTTGTCTCACTCACTTTGTTGGCAAATGAGGCCTGAACACCTCCCTAGAGTGAAAAAGCTAGCAATCACACTGCTTCCACCCTATTAATTTAAGAACAAATTAAGAAAAATCCAGCCTCAGATTTTCAAAAAACTTATAAACATTCAACCTGAACTTAAATTTACTGGTTCTCACAAAAAAATAGTGTATTGCAAATAATTTCCTATAAGAAGCAAGCAAACAGCTATAATTTGCTGCCAGCCAATTGAAATCTCAAAGATGCAGGGGATTGAACATTTCAGACTTAAAACTTACTATATATAGCGTTTTTGTAGCTGAAGTATATCTCAAGCTTAGAACGTGCTTAGCTAGTAGCCATCTTAGTTTTCCGAATACAGTGCTCATCACATGACGATAATAGTGTAGTGTGTTTAGGATCCCCCCAATTCAGCATAAGTTTGTTGGTAAATTTTTAGTTGGTAAAAAAATCCCCTGGTTTGTCAGTAAAATCGTCTATTGGTTGGTGAAATAGCACCTAAATTTCTCTCCATCCATATCTTTGTTGGTAAATTTTACTACTCAAGACCCTCCACCCGCCTAGTCTGGAAGGCCAAGCTACGCCACTGACTACACTACACTAAGAACAATTTATTTGCCAAAAAGGAAATTAGTTTTTGGTTAAAATTATTTTTTGTTGAAACATATTTAGTTTTACTGATGATAGGTTTGGATGTTTTGTTATAATTTATGTTTGAGCCGGAAATCCTGCCAATTAGAGAAACTTTGAGGATTTACAGTATTTGACATATTTAACCATATTCAGGGTCACCAAGAGAGGGGACAAGGGGCAAATTGCCCCAAGGCCTTGACGTCTAGGTGGCCTCATAAAGTAATGAATTCCATTTTAAGAATGGAATTGATCAAGTGTAGCAACAATATGCCTAAAAATAATAAAAAGTTTTAGATGATTGAAAGAAATAACTGCAAGAAATTTTTTGAGATGCATTTTTAACTAATCTAAAGGGTGTGGTCACGAAATTTTTTCCTCGCTCTGCTCGCAGGGGCCTCGTCTTTCCGTTTTGCTCCAGAGCCTCTGAAACCTCTCAGCAGCCAGGCCTGGCCGTTTGAGGTGAGCGATAGCACGCGCTCGCCTCCACGCTCCCCTCGCAACCTGAGGCGAGCTATGAATTGCTCTCCTAAACAGAACATGAAGGGAGAATCGCTCCCCTAAAATTTCCATTCATTTGCCCTTTTCCTATTCAGAGAACCCTGAAAACGGGTTAATTGGCTTATTTTTGTAACAGCGATTTCTCCCGTCACTGCATTTTTTGCAATTAATTTTTTGCTTGTTGGGCGGTTTTTGTTATGATAGGCATAAACTTCGATCTATTTGGAAAAGGATAGTTAACCGAAAGGTACGTTTGTAGCGATTAGAACCTTTCAATCTTAAGAAAACAGGAATATTTTTGGAAGGGAAGTCGAAGAAATGGGTAGGAATTGTAGATTGGGGATATAATAAGACAGCAGCAATAGAAACCAAACTATCCCTCAAAGAGAACAAGGTACTCGGTCTTGCAGATAAAAAAAGACAACCACAACATGGAATTCCACTATCCAGCAGCATTTACTGAAAAACCCAGATTGGGTGAAAAACTATAACGGCGACATGTTTCGCATTATTGGCAAAGCCTGATCATCGTTCAATCTATGTAGCAGTTGGTAACATTTTCAATAGGAAAGGGGCACTTATTGGAAAACCTCAACAGTCATGTCCTCGCGTTTTCTGATGGCCTATTTCGATCCAAAACTGGGTATTTTAGCGTAGAGTTTTCCTTCTATGTTCTGACGTTTTATTCTCTGAAGAGTGCTAGACGTATAATTAAGTTTGTTTCAAAATTTGTTTTTTAAAGCCATTTTCAAATTCTGTGCAACAAAAAGATTTTTTTGCAAGATAATTGTTGTTTTTGTGTTGTGCCAGCTTTACATAAAACGGAGAGAGTCTGTTCTTTCAAATACTTCAAGTAAAGGGGGTGCCTAAGTCACGGTTAAAGCAAATACAAATTGAAAGAAGTAAAACATAACACTCCTGACTGAGGCAATTACATTAAGGCAACCGACAGATACTAAAGGGGCTTATTAAGTCATCTGTCGATTGTCTTTAAATTACATTCTATGTGTTACTGATTTAGCTCGCCTCAGCAAATGAGGAGAGCGATTCACAGCTCACCTATAAAAATACAAACGGCCAGGCCTGAGCAGCCCCAGCCATATTTGCCACACAAGTCTTATAAGAATTTTTATAGATTAGTTGAAATTTCATAAACTGAAACTATTGTTATGAGGAACTCAAAAGAAGCTTTAGTTCATTTTTGCAGATTACCTATAAATGTAAGTAATATTTGCATCCATCACAAAGTAATGTACCATATAATATTTCCAGTCTGGAAGTATTAGTATGCATTTGCCTACATTTATTGATTATATCTGTTTTAGGGTCCAATACCAGGTTTGAAACATCAACTAAGATTCCAAATCTGCTATGTGCTCATCCCAAATGTATATTTGTTAAAAAAGCGAGTTAGATTCAAAGCTGCACTACAGATACTAGAGAATTAAAAATGTATATATATATAATAACACTGTTTATTAATCTTTCTTAAAGTTTTTGTAATAAAATTGCATTTGATACACACATATTATCAAAGCATCTGTTTTTGATTGAATTTTCTTACCCCTCCAAAATCCTTGATTAAGCAACGCCAATAAATTGGATACTGGACCTTCCATATTGCTTTGCTGCTTCCTTAATTGTCACATTAGAAAGCACAAAAGATGAAAAATGTGAAAATGATATTTGATGATCTTGTCTATGAGTAAAAATCTCCCATTTTATCATTCAAATTGTATTTCATATTAGACTGAGCTGTAAAACGATTTGAGAAGCAAATTTTCTTCATATAGATCCATCTGTTGTTGCTTATTTTCACCAACTAATATTGAATAGTTCAGTGTGTGTTGAATGAATGTAGATTTTGACTATGCTTAAGAAATGTCTGCACTTTGTAAACAGCCTCAGATTGAGATTGTTTTGAATCATCATCATAGACATCCATTTTGTTAAATTTCACTTCATAACATTTCAGTTTCACAAGAAAATTGTATATTTTAGGTTCATAAGGGGCAAGGAGAGACAATCATATTTTGAAGATACACGATGAAGCTTTTAAGATCTGGTGAAAAGTGGAAGCCAGATATTTACATGCAATATCAAAACGTAGATCTTTGGAAGAATCTTATCACCAATCAAAGGTTCTTGCAACTAAAACAAGCGATGCTAGGAGCGCTAGAATAAGATACAATGCAAACAAATTTTCCAGTGAAAGATAAATGGCTAGGAAACGTGGTTCAAAGAAGGGAGAATCGCGATTTTAGATGGCAGGATTGGAGAAAAGAAAAAGCCTTGTCATGGCCAAAGTCTTTTGCAACGGTTCCCGACATCCCTGATGTAATCCGAAGTCACCAACAAGACGCTGTGAACCAAAACATCGACAATGAAGCAGAAAGGCACATGCCTCGAATGAACTTCCTCCATGGACGATCGATGGGTAGGCTGTTAGAAGACCCTGACGAGTGCAAACTGTATTTAGATTCCCCTCTTCTATTTGACAAAAGTAATGGAATTAAAAATAGACAAAATCTCTCAGATGATTCGACAAAGGATGCTAATGACATAGACAATGCTCTCACAGATAAAAACTCTCGATTTCGAAAGGCAAGGGGAGGACTACGCGATTTAATAAGGTTACACGAGGAAGAAATTGCAAGAGCATCAGGATCAAAACAGATCTATGCAAAGCGACCAAAGCATGAAGATATGCTACAAGCCCAATCCTCATGTTTATCTGAAGAGGAAGGCAGGATAAACCACGAAAAAATACCATCTGATGAAGGGGTTATCGATTACGTGAAAAGTGAGACTAAGGATAATATGTTTGTGGAAAACAAGGCGATGGTATTTGAAACCACTACACCTACTGCTAGTTTTGTAAATGTTACTAGTATGAATATTGCTAGCAATCTGCCAAAGATGGATAAAAGCACGTCAACAGAGGATATCGAACTCCATCTACGAGAAGATATCGCACTAAGCTTTGATAAAAAAATCATGGAGAAAGAGGATCTGATAAACACTTTGATACAAGAGAAGGAGAGTTTGGTTGTTAAGTTAGAAGAGCAGAGGAAGGTTGCCAACGCATATCAGAAGTTGGAAGATCGTTATCGAAGGAGGGTTTATGACCTTGAGAAGATGATGTTTTCATGTACCTGCGGTGTCCTAGACTCGAGGAGCACTTCAGAGCAAGATCTCACAAAGACTTTATCATCGAGGTTAGTTTACTTTGATTTATGAAGTATGAGCAAACATTAATCTGAATGATCACATTGAACTAAGAAAGTTCATTTCCAGCTATACCTTTCCGAGCGTTGGTGATGTATCACAGGGATCAGTTATCTAGCCTTGGCTGTTGCTCTTTTCCTTATTGGCTTTCTTTCGTCCATGTTCAGTTTGCATTCCTTTGCTGATGATACAAAATCGTCACTGTTTTACGCTTATTTTCGTATCATGCAAATATAACTTGCTTACAAAAAGAAACGAAAAAAGTTTTTAGCCTTCTATTTTCAATATTAACTGTGAAATTTTCTCTTACAAATCTTGAGTACCCAAATTTTGTACCAAACCCCGTTTTGCTCCCATCCTAAGAGAAACTGAATTTTTTTCTGCGTTCCATTCCTTGTACATTCATTTATCTGTATACAACTGATAAGAATTCCTGGATAGAAGCCGCAGAATTCTTGAGCCAGGCTGTCATAGGTGTGCCAATTCGTCCTCAATTCATACTTTTTTCTTCAACAGAATAGAATTTCGAAGGTCCAATTCGCAACTTGAGATGCAGCAGCCAAAAAAGGTAGATAATATTATCAATGAACTAGAAAGCTGGATAATGGATCAAAAGGGGATGCAAATTCTGCATGATAACAGCTCAGACATACAAGACTTTATGGCAAGCGAAAGCTCGCTGAGCTCTCTTTCAGACGTCAGGTTAAGTAATTTCCCGTTTGAGTTTATCGATCAGTTTGATGCAACCTCTGTGTAGATATCTAAGCACTAGCACAACGTTACCTAATACTTTTTAAATGTCGTATCCTACCCGTAGTCTACAACCGAAGGCTGTTATCTCCCCACCAAAGTGGACTTGGTCATGTAGAGACACACAGTCATTCAGGCACTGACCTCAGTTTCTGCTTACAAGAGAACGTCGTCCGCCCCACTGACTACGAACGTGTTTTTCTGTTCTGACTTACAGTAGGCAAAAATGGAGCTTTTCCTAAAGTTATCTATCATTTTGAGCTGTGTTCGTCTCATCATATCGCTGGGCAAAATAAATTGGCTAAAATGAATTCTGAGGATTGGACAAGTCTTTTGGATTTGAAACGTTTTATCTGAAAAAGCACCTAGAACGTCTTGTTCATGGGCGATGTCACTTGAATATACTTCAAGTTGACTGAGATAGCTATATCTAATTCTTTTTGCAACAGACTTGGCTCATTTGGCACAGCGGGTCTGATTTCCGAAATTCTCGTTACTTTTTAATTCTTGCCATTCAACAGATTTCAGTGAATGAACTGTAAGGTAATTTTATTGAACCGGTCTTCCATATCCATCCAGCTTCCATATCCGATGCGGCTGGCAGGTTTCAAGAAGTAATATTTGCATTAGTTTGTAAATGTATTCATTTGTAGCAAATTGACGTCATATGTATAGCGTTTTTATGACATCCCTCGAAGATTCTTATAGTAGTAATAAGGTTTAGATAGTTGTGAATTTTGTGAATTATCTCAATTGAAAATTGATAAAATATTTTCAAAGGTAAAGTAGCCCTTAGAAGTGGGCTGGTCATCAGAATCATTATTAAGCACATTTTTGCAATTTTGATGCTTTTCTAGATTTAGTAGTGCTAGATTGTGAAATATTACGGCTAGACCATATTTTCAGCGCATAAAAATCTTAAGGTCTATGAGATGCCAATTCACTGTACCAATATTACTTGACAAGCGCTATAGCCAGATTCATGGTTGATATATACATAACAAAATATCTTTTAGCCATTGTAGCTCATCGATATATTCTACGAAAGGTTCTTATAGGGTGGCTAGGGCTTCTATTCGACCGCCCCCCCCCCACCCATTGAAAAAATTCAAGCATATAAAGATAGGCAAGGCCTATTGATTGGTTAAAATGGGTCTGCTTTTCTCCGAAAGGAGTTTCCAGCCGCTGGACATAGGATCCGTTAATGTTGGCCTGTTTACGTATATTTCTAAAGGCGGACATAGCGAATGAAGGTGGGCAATCTGTTTTGCTAGATTTCATATTATCAGGAGGAACTTCCCTGACCATAGGCAACTCAATACAGCCAAAAACCCCTTAGAATTGACGATACGAGGCTTATCGAATAATCATAACCAGATTTGCTAGTTCCAGCTTTTTATATATTAAATATATCTTTCGCTGCGCATTCGCAATGCTTAGAAAATCTTTAGGAATTTATACAGAGTTTAAATGTTCACTTCGTAGTGTTTTCATTGCCTAGCACCGTTGATGATCATTATTGCTGGGCGTCAGATTTAGCAGCAGTAAGAAATTTTTGCCTCGTATCTTTGTGAAGTATTATATTTTTTCACCCAGTATCTTTTCTTCTATTTTGAAGAAAGTGGTAGAATAAATCCTCGACCTCATTTTCTAACAGCAGCCTCGTTGTTTGACTGTTGATGAGCCTTGCCATCAATGCCGTGTAATTTGGTGGTTGTTACTTACATTAAAATGGCAACAGAAGTCTTAGAATCGAATCAGTGTATAGGGTTGAAAAGGACGGGTTGGGGATATAGGGAAATACTAAACAATTGTCTATGAAATTAGAAGTTTTTATCGAAAGTATAATCCCAATTGAGTTTATTACAATTTTCCGAAGCACATTTCCGATGCTTATAATCTGCTCAGTTAACGGACAAAAAGTTCTTTTAAAGTATTGCAGCCTTCAAAGCACTAAATTTAGACCCGAGCTATTCTTACACTACGAAATTCCCATAACGTCTGGATCCATGAAACTGGGTTAATTGATTTTTAGTTTTTCTTCACGGACAAAATCTATAATTTGCTGTATGAAAATAAAATTTACATTTGGACCAGTGCAGATAGTTTTCTACAGTTGCTATGAATTTTCAAGTTTAGGGTATAAAAATGCTCTGAATTTTCCCAGTTTTTCGATAGTTGTCCTTGTTGTTCTTAGTTTATCCACAGAGCCCAGAAAATATTACGGCTCCAAGGCAAGTGAGCTGGAGGAAGGATATCAAACGATGCAATAGTTTTTGGGAAGGCAAATGCATAACTACCAAAGTTATGCAGCCAAACCATAGATGATTTTACAATATATAAATATTTTCCATTTCCAAAACACTTTTGTTCAAAAGATTTAAGGACAATTTGAGGCAGGCAAAGGCAAATTTTCTCCGGATAAAGATAGTGACATTTGTGATCTCAGTTTATCCTTTTGTTGAGACATTTCATTACATCTGAATTTATTTAGCCCCAGGAGAAAGAAAAGGAGTAGAGTCTTTAAGGAGGTTACAATAGAGATGCGTATGCAAGCGTGATGGTGATTTCAAGTTGTTCTGCACCTGAAGTTGTGTTCTGTATTGAAATTTTAAGGTCACGCGTCGATAGCTTGTTTGTGGATAGGACGTTTATGTGCATGTTCAACATCGCTACGCCATGTCTTCAACAACATCCTCATCGACTTCTTCAAATAGCAAGAGTGACAAGGACAGCAAGGCCATATGCATAGGACGTGACACGATCCAAATATACATAGGACGTGACGTGGACGGACGTATTTTCAAGTGCTCCCCCTATTTAGATTCTAATCTATTATTTAGAAGAAATAAAACGCACTTGCCATGAGTACTGCAGAAACGAATGCAAGGTAAAAAATTAAGATTTCATCTACAAGGTAAGAGATTCGCTTAAGAGGGTGGGACACAGTGAACGAATATTTATCTGATGAATTTGCAAATGATAGCGAAGACCAGAAGAAACTCAGGGCAGCAAAGAGCAAGACAACAAGTTTATTTTTTCCGAGCCCAGCCAAACATTGACAATATCAACCTCCAGAACCAACCTTTTTGTAGCCAGTCCTTCGACGACGATAGATTCATTTGAAGACCCTTCTTCAGGAGGGATGATACGACGACAAGCGGCAGATTTCAGAAGACAGCCAAGCCTACAGACATCTGTCTCGGATGCGGGAATCGATGTCATTTGCGAAGAAACTGCCCAAATGGTAACCCAAGCACTTTTAGAAAGGCGAAGAATAACTTTAGAACAAGATAGGTATGACTTTTATTTTCACCCTGATTAGTTGTCTAAATATGAGGAAAATACATAAATACAAATACAGGACAAAATATCAAGGGTAGATTAAGAAACAACTTTTTTTGCTGGGAACCTATGCATACAAGTAGAAATGTTTTTTAAATCATTTCTTCAGAACAACAAAAACTACTTGCGCTTCATGCAGATTTTTGTAAAAAGACATTAACGATCTAGGACAAACGGAGCGGAATATGACTCAAAACCTCTCGTGGTTAACCCATTATCCGCTTCTACAAATCAAATGCGAATGTTAAAAAACGACTTATTTAGACAGGGCATTTACTCTAACAGTCTACCAAACATGCTAACTTTCGGTTTTTCAACAGATCCCGTTAAACTAAGCTCAAAACTTGAAAATTTTGATTTGCACCTTTTTACAAAATCCTTTGTTGTCATTTGAACGGTGACGTCATTGAGCTGATTACTTAATTGCTATGATGGCGGATAATAAACACTTCTAGAAAAGTATAGGGAAGTATTCTAAACAAAGGTATGTTTTTCAGAATATCAATGCTATGTGAAATGCTTACAAGCTTATTTATAAGATTTACTTATGCATAGCCGCATAACAAAAGATTTGCTTGCGACCATGCTCTCCGGGATTACAATACTTCTTTTTGGTTATGCTAACATATCTTGACTATGAATATAGGAATACTGCAATAAAATAAAAATTTTTGGAAAAGTTCGTGGAATATCCAGAAGTACATTCTTAGCAGTCAACTTAACATGACAATTCTGTGCAAAATAACTCGATATGGAGACCTTTGGGGAGTTGTGTGGGTGCCACCGTATTCCCAACGATTAGATGGAATGTTTCGAAACGTGCAACTATGGTATGGTCCTCTCAGATTCTGTGAATAATTGCCACTATCTCCAAGAACAGAAGCGCAGTGAAGGGGAGGCAAGAATAGGCGAACGCCACTTCCCCTTAATTGCCAAAATGTCTTAAAGTATTGGCGTTTACTGGTGTTCCAAAGGGTGTGGACCTCCATTCTTCTCTTGCTCAACTCGCCTTTGCGCACACCCCCCCCCCACCTTACTGTTCAAGAAGGTAAGGCAAAAGGTATATGTAAATCACTTGACAGCACTTGGGGGGGATAACATAATGATTAGATTTGTGTCCCACACCCTTCAGGTGACTGGAAAATGATAGCAAAGCAAATTTTTAACCTTCAGTCAATATCCATTCTAGATACGGTTTCTGGCCATCCCTAGAATAACATGCTTCTTAAATTTTCCTTCCTGCCAACCATAGTGGCGGCCTTTACCAAACCCTTTTACACAGCCTAAATATTTTGGCCCCTCTGCTTTTAAATACACGTTTTTTACTATAAGGCCGTTCCATTCACTTAGAGCTACCAAGTGTTTCATTGTGTAATGTCAAGTGTTTCATTTTCCCTCTTGACTGAATTTCAATTTTTTCATACATTAAACGTCTGTTACATTTTTGAATACAGTTGCAATGAATAGAATAGAATAGAACTGAATAGAATAAGGTAACATCCCTCTAAAAAGTTTGCGATCAGTGTCACAGTATCTAGAACTCTTACAAAAGAAATTTCATTTCATTTTCACTAACAGGTTTTTGACATAATATAGGATACCCCTCCTTCAAAAGCATGACTTACAAGTAGCATAAAGCACCATTTGTTCTCATGGCGGTTTGTGGACTGGGCGCTAGTAGGCAATACCTTCGATTGAGGAAGGGTTGACCGTGTTAATCTAGGAGTTTTTTGTCAGTAGCACACATCCTGAAACTCAGACATCTTAGTTCATCGATTAAAGATTGGATACAATTTTTTTTCGAATCCATAATAGATTATTGTTCTAACGACGAAAATGGATCGATTTGTTTTGGAAATGATATTGTTCTGCACACTTGCCGCACTTCATGGGAAACTCTCAGTTGGTATGTACAATGTCAGTATTATTAAAAGTGTCTTGAGGTTTTTAAGAGATTAAAAATCAGAAAGTAAATTGTATCTTTTATTCAACATGAAAATAACTTTGTTGGCTGACAAAGCATGCTTTAACTTAGTTGCAGTCAAGGGGCCCATTCGGGTTTGCACTACAGAACCATGACCTCCTCCCCTCCCCCCCCTACTTTTTTGCGAAGCAAGTAGTTTAAAAGCAGTAAAAGAGGTAAAAGAGGTAAGAAGCCTTGCCTCTTTCAAATTTGTGGCGCGGGCCCTGGAAACTGCATGAAAGACAGAAGCAAGTGCCAGCGCTAAATGTAGAGAGTTTTCCTCGTCCAATTCAACAAAAATTAGCAATCTAAGGCCCCGGATTACCCTTCACACGATACCAAATTCCCGACCGGATTCATTTCGTATCGCATCAATGCCAAATTTTGAGGTCAGGCCAAATCAATTTTTTCAGGCCAAACAAGTTACAAAAAGGCGAAATTTCTGAAATTTGGCCATAAAGAGGCCAAGTTACCAACCCTCATCGTGAATTTGGTAGAAGACTGCCGTCAATCAAATGTCACAAATGACAGCGTGATGTTATCCTATGCCTTATACATTGTTGTTGTCGGTGTCGGTGTTGTCGGTAAAATATTTTCTTAATTGCCGTGGGATTGTCAACTTTGACAAAGTCAAAACAGATTGCGAACGGGCCCAATGTCTATTCTGTGACTTGGTAGATATTGATAGAGGTGGAAAAAAAATTGACGAGTTCCAGGCCAAGGGTCTTTCAGAAAATGGCATTATTGATACAGTGGACTCCTGATATAAGGAACCCGGATACAATTAACCTCCCGGTATAGCGAACTAAATGTCTGGTTCCTTGGAATAAACTCATTAAAAATTCTTTCTTTGTAATGAACTTTGGTTATTAGATTCCCTCATCGTTAATACCCTAGACATAACGAACGTTTTATTTAGTTACTTCATGTAATATTTATGTTCATTTATCATTTTCTTTTGGGGGGATCTCTCTTGGGTGGGGGGAAGAGGTAGGGATTTCTCATTATTGTCATTGGCAAAACATGCTGATGATACATTTCAAGCAATGGCTGATAGACTCAGAGCACGAGATGAAAGTTTGATCGAGTCAGAAATTACTGCGAATGAGTACATTGAAGCTAACGAATACCTTCTTACATATAGGCAATGAGCGATGATAAGAGGAACAGATATGGAATATATATAAGAGGATAAAAAGATTTTCATTTTAAATGACTAACCATTAGTAACATTTCAATTCAGCTTGGTTTTTTGGGGTTGAATGTGCACAGAAGTTAGAGATCCTAGGTTAGAGAGGCCTAAACAGGCCCATCGCAGGTTTTTTGTTATGTACTGCGAAAAGATCTAAAAAATTATCGTTATATCGGGATTCCACTGTAAGACGCTTGTGTCATGCCCTCAAGTTACACCAGGTCACACTACAGCTCATCTCTCCCCAGCAACTCTTCATATCAATTTTAAGGAAGCATTTGCTATTTGAGGTGGGTACCCTGGGTTCCAGAGCGTCAGTAAGAAATAGGGCGTCGAGGAAATAGGGGGTTGCGGGAGAGTGCGGAGGAGGAGAGAAGAGAGGACCTGTTTCGGTTGTCAGCTATTTACAATTTTTGTCTCACTGTCCAGTATGTGCCTTAGTTGGAGAATGCCAGAGCTGATGCTATTTCTCGTATGCACTCAGGCCGTCCTCTGCTACATTTGTGTTCTCTGCTTTGTAAGGACTTCACCCCTACCCAGCTTCTTAGTGTGCTCCTAGTAGACCACATGTCGTCCAACAGCACTTCGTTCCAGGCACCGCGCAGCCATTGGGCTAGCAGGGGCTATAGCCCCTCCACTTTTTTGCGATAATACGTTAGAAAAAGTTTTTGCAAGGTTACTCTAACTATGGTCTAACGCAACATTGAATAGTATACTCCTAAGAAGTAGCAGGTTTTCTTCACTGGGAACCCTTTTTGTTCATTTTCTTGGTCTTTTTCTTCATGTTTTATTCTCCCCAATCTAATTTTATCTATTTCTATAACTATTGATACCATCCCTGAACCAGATTGTTTATAAAACCCCAGTAGAAATAAGCCAGTATTTCTAAAAGGGGCGTTTTCCGGTGTTCTAGAGGGCGTGGCCTCAAAAAATTTTGGTAACACCCTTTTCAGCCCTCCCACATTTAGACTGGTGCGCGGTCCCTGCTCGTTTCATGTTTCCAGTTTTACCAGCCAACTTTGCAAAGAGTTTGCTGAGGCAGTCTTGCAGTTCCGTAGCCAGAGCTTTGCTCCTACAGCCAAATAGCACAGCTGTTATCTTGATACATATCTACGTTTTTGTGCCTACCTTGCCCTTTCTCCTGTCCCAACGACCCCCCACCGCCCATCCTCCTCACAATTTCAGTCTATATGCTACCTTTTTGACACACTCCCTCAACTCCTCTAGCATTCGACAATACATCAATGTGGTTTGATTCCTTCACAAGGACCTTGGTCTACCCAATCCCTTGCATGGTAACAGGCTGCCCTTAACCTTTTTGCTCACTGGCATCAAACCTTCCCAGAAGCTCCCTAATACTTTTGTTTATACCCTGTTTATGTCTAAACTTCGGCACTCTTTAAATGCAAGTGGCCTTCACAAGAGAGCAATTTTGATAATTGATAAAAGCATTTTTGAGTAGTCAACAGTAATCAAGTAACGCCAAGTTTTTTCTTTATTTATCTTTTTATCTTAAAGTTAAAAACCGAATTTTAAAGGTAGGCGTTTCCATCATGTTCTAGTGACATAAAAAGTGTGACACAAAAATCCAACTATTATCTAACACCTCGCACCACAATCCTGCCTCCCGTCCCTGACTATGCATCCAGCCTTCTTCAGACCTGAAGATTAATGAAATTGGCATAAAAATTACCGGTAAGCCATATTCCGAAATTTCACAACGAATTGCTCAATAGAGAGACAAACATTACATCAGGACCTTTTCGATACAGCTTTATATAAACATACATGGAAGTTGATACATGATTTAACACGATTCATAGTCATTGCCAGAGTCTAGAAAACAACGCGACCCTACGACCTCAGGTCGCGTATGAAGGTTTGGCAAAGACCGGAAATATTAGGAAAGAAAAGTTTTATCCAAAAAATTTTAAAAAGTAAAGAAAAGGGTTTTAAAAAAGCAAACCTTTTACAACAAATTGGCTCAAAGCTTTTTCGTCTGACACTCCTCAGAGCATAAAACGTCAGAATAAGCTACCAACGAAAAAAATTCGCTCTGTTGTAAATTATTCTTATGTGTTTTTTGTAGATGGGCAGTCATTCATTCCTGCTGCTGGAACTTTTGTTGATAAGTTTGGAAAGAAATCTCAGAGCATCGACATTACTTGGACATACAACGTTAGCAGTCTTGATGGTGTCAGTATTTTATGTGGCTTTCCATCAGATTTTGTGATCAGAAAGAAAGGTACTGATGCAGCTTCTTTGGTTCCTAAATATCATGGCAGAGCTTCAGCTATTGATAATGTTGGCCAAAGAAAAATTGGATTTCAGCTTCTAAATATTGGTTTTGGCGATGCAAAAGATGTTTTTTGCATACTGTTTACAGCTGATCCTACCATTTTTTACAGTGGAACTTACAAGCTAAAAATATGTGGTTTGTATATTTTTGTACTAAAGATTTTCTTATTTTCAAACATTGGTACATGGAAATCAGTTTAAACACATGGCTTAAATCTGCAGTTTCTTTCCCTCTTAAAGAAACATTGGCCACTGTAAATGACATGTGCCAGTTCAGATATGATTAATTTAAAATGTACATTTTGACTTTTATGAAAAAAGTTCAAGAAAACCTCCGATTTAGTTTTTTAAAGAAATTTTCTCTCACTATTGTTGTGAAAGTCTTACCCAATTATTTCCATTTCTACAACCAAACCTTGTTCCAGTGTTGGACTATTTAAAGCCCTCATATATGTTCTCAAGCTGAAGAGTGATTAAATGAAAGGGGGGTCTTTGGGGGGGGGTATCAAATCCCGTGATTCCGCAAGAATATCTTGATATTACGGTAATACCAAATTTTCAAAATGAAAATTACCGAGCAAATTACAGTTTGAATTTTAATTAACTTCGTTTAAGTTTCGAGTAATTTCTTGGGAAATCTTCAAGATTCAAACATGTAATATAAGTTCATATATCGGCGGAAAGTTTACAATATATGAAAAACTCATCCGCCCACAAAATATGAAGATCATGCAGGGCCCCTTTTCATCAATCTTTCTAATATAAATTCTCTGAAAATGTCATCATATTAAGCTGACTTTCTACACTGACTTTTTACTTCCTTGCAGTCTTCTTGATGGACACAACTAGCCTTATTCCCTTAGTGCTTTGAAGCTTAGTAGTTTTCTCCGTTGTGAAACAATTTTGTGAAAATGCTGTTTCACTCAATTTATTTATGATAGCAAATTTTTTACTGATTGTTGAATAAAAGTTTTCTATAAATTCCAGGGGTGTATTGCTAGGGGGTGGGGGGCTATGGGAGGCTGAGCAATGCGCTCACAAAAGATCAGATAATCCCTCAACAATTAATGTAATCCTCGACGGTTCATTATTTTCAGATTTCCCATCTTACCTTAGCATATAAACTTAAATGGCGCCGTACAAAAAGTTAATTTTTTGACTTGAGCTTCTTCCCCCTATTCAAGTATAATTTTTAACCCAAATTCACCTATCTGATGTTTTTATATCAAATCCTGTACTCAAAGTTTCAACAACATTTGTTATTTAAGCGGCAAAAAATGTTTAGAGAAGATTCATTATCATTGATGAATCAACTTTGGGGTTAAAATAAGTTTTAAAAACAAATATTAATGAAATTAAAATATGTTTCTTGTCACACTTTTATGTTCAGTGATGTTTTGCGTTGTTTGTTCTTGTCTTTTGCTTGTGGTGTTTTGGATCGTATTGTTTTGCGTTAGAGTATTCAATAGATATTTAAGCATAGAATTAATTGCCCCTAGAGGACTAGACTTGGTTTTTCGTTTGATCTAGGGAACAATATGATGTGAAAATTGTGGTTAATTTTATATCTATAAATGTGTTGTCTTTGGCTTTGGATCGCTTTTGCCATTTTATTCTTACTCGCGACATTTCTGAAAGTGGTAACCAAATTCCATGCTTAAATAGAATATTCAAGCAGTTACGCGATATTGCTCTACAATTCTGAAAGCTAAATCGAATCAGAAATAACTGTAAAGATCTAGGGAAATAATTCCCTTGAAAGTTGATCTAGCTTTATCCCTACAACCGAAAACACTCTTCTACTGTGCTTTGCAGTAACTGTAAGTTTATGGAGCCAACCCTGGCTAAAAAAAGGACCACATAGATATGCCCAAACATAATCGGATGGATTTTGTTAAGACTGGTCAGAAGAAAGTATGAAGATTTTATCAAAGAAAAGGCGCTTTCTTAGCGTCCTCTTCAAGTCGTTGATACTCTTTGTAGAAGATGAGATCCTGTTTACCTGGCAGCTTTTTAGATCAAAGGGAAACTCGTCGATACCAGTTATAAATAGGAGAGGTCCAAGGAAAGATCCCTGTGGAACACCAAAATGTAATTTTCCATTCGTGACGTAAGACCTTTTTAGAAGCAAACTCTGGACTCCGGGGACTATATAAGGAACTGAAACAGCCCAAATTGTTCTGGGTAACACTTGCATTTGTTAACACAATGTCTTCTTAATTCTTAATGATTATTTATTCCAGAGGTACCTGAGTTCCGAAACTGCTTGATTGAAGGAACAACATCCACTACTGGTCAAACTATTTTTGCTCTGCAAGAAGGCCAGACTTTAAACTCAACTTGCTATGTTTATGGCAACCCTATTCCAAAGCTGACATGTGGCACCTACGATGATAAAAATAATCAAGTTGGGCAAAATGCTGAGGTAACCGGGAATTTTACAAACCTCCCAATAAGCAGTCGTTTGCGTTTTTTTAATGTTCGAAGAGGGGTGACCAAAGTAAAATGTGTTGCTGATGGAGGTCCTGCTGGAGAGATATCAATGGAAGTAAAAGTTCAAGTTGATCGTAAGTAACACATTTTTAATCCAAAAGTTTTCAGTGAACTGTTTTGATGCATATGTGCAGGACTCCAAACCGAAACATTCATTAAAAAATCCTTTTCTTGTTTTTGATACAACCAGCGTAAACCTATCTGACCTTGTTCATTTTTTAGATTTTCATAAAATTTTTTAGTAATTTCTGCCAACGAATATGTACTTATGTGTTAGAAAATGCAGTTACGTCCTTTATTCGTAAAAAACTGCTTACTAGAAAATTAAATGATTACGGTTACGATAAGGTTGTCAAAACTTTTCTGTTCTAGAGGGACGTAGACACAAAAAAGGGCGAAAAGAAACTCTTTCATAAGAATTCGATGCTTTCCAATTTGTCAACGGCCAGAAAGCTCACTTACTTAAGGCAAATTTGCCAAATATGGCAGAGGGTGCCTCTACTCACAGCATTTCAGCTAACCATTGCTGTTTGCCACATAAAACTTAGAAAAAGAATGATCACAACATTTCTTCTGGTCTGTCACTTCTTGATTAAGCAAACGAAAAGGGTATGAATTATTTTCCGCACGTCAAAAAGATTTTGGTAAGTTTCACGACAGCTTTTTCTTGAAACCACCAAAGCTAAATACAAGCCTGATTGGAATTGATTCAGTATGCTAGGATCCTGCTTTAGTTGGTTAGGTCAAAAAGAGTTTGAAGAATGTCCATAGGGAAGGAATCCTCGAAAATATGTTTGTTACTTCAAAAGGTAAACTTTTTTGAGTAGATTGTTGTTCTAAAACAAGTTAACAGATATTAATGTATTCATGATTAATATGAAAAGATTTAAGAGCTTTTCTAATTCTCAAATGATTCCATGGATGTAAAATGCAAGTGATTTCACTTTAAACTCCAAAAATATTGGTTTTTTTGGAAAACAGTGTCCACCAAGGGTTCTCTAGAGTAGCAAAGAAACGGGAAGGGTGGAAGGGTCGAATCAGGGAGAGCTAGAAACCTTTTTTCAAAATGAAAAATGAGGAGAATTATTGAACAGGGATTTGGTAACAGAGAACACTGGTTATCGTTGAGCTGCAATAACCGCAATTTTAAACCTTTTCTATAGTTTAATTTCTCTGCTTTTCGAATACCTTTTGACAATGTAAATAGCGGACATTATTTTGTTGTTTATGTTTTCTGTTTTGTCGCATGTAAAACAACAACCAAAACATGCGATTCTGCTATCGGGCAGCATTTACTGGAAAACCAGATTGTGCAAAAAACTATAATGGTGACATGTCTTGTATTGTTGGTAAAGCCTGATCGTCGTTCTATCGAGAAGTTTTGGAATCTATCACATAAACATGAAAAAACCTATATTGTGTAGACAGAAGGAGTTTTTTTTCACCTTAGGACTCCATTGCTAACAATTTCCACAGGCAAGCGGCACTGATTGGGCAACCTCAACTGTCATGTGCTCGCGTTTCTGATTGGCCTATTTTGATCAACAACTGGGTTTATATATTTCCTAGAGTATAGTTTTTTCGATCTATGTTCCGACGTTTTATAATCTTAAGAATGTCAGACGAAAAGCTTTAGTATGAGTCAAAAATTTTTCAAAGTCATTTTTAAGTTTTGTACCACCAAAAGATTTTTTGGATAATCATTTTCGCTGTTTCTCTCTATCAGACGTCCCAACTGCTCCAGTGGAAGTACGATTGATTGAATCAACGTATACATCTATTAAAATCGGATGGAGGAAGCCTGCCAGTCCAGGCTATTCAGGAATATCCAATTATCTTATGGAGTTGTTTTACCCAAATAGAACAGAGACAGTGCGAAATATGACCGTAACAGACGGAAGCCCCCTGCTTGAATACACTTTCCTTCATTTACACCATGACCAAGAATATAGAATTCGTATCTCTGCATACAATGCTGTTGGCAAAGGGGCATACGCTGAAGGGTCGTACAGGACGGTCCGAATAAAACCTGGTGGGTTTTTTTATTCTGTGCCAAAATATTTTGGTCAGTTTGTTTGTCTCTCCTTTCTCCTGTATGGTGCTTATAGGTATCGAGAGCTCCAAACACTGTCAATGAATGTCAAAATATTTTTGTTTGCCTACCACTCAAATATCTTGTTCCAAAGGTATAAAAACTTTTTAGAACAGAACTTTTTAGGTGTTAAATGTATTGTTGGGTAAATTTTGATCTGTTTGAACACCTCAGCCAGGATTTGACTATTTTTTGCTTTCGCTGTTTGTTGTTATTTTGGAATGAATCGAACTGCCTTGCTTCACAAGTTTGAGTAGAAGAATGTTGCAGTGGATATTGTGCAGTTAAAATCAGAAATGTTGGATGAATTTGTGAAACAGTTCCAAAATCATCAAAGAATATTAAACATTTTTAACCAAAGTTAACTTACGTCAAGATCTCCAAACATCATGCAACTCTTTTACCAAAACCAACTTTTTTGCCATCGTCCAACGAAGTCTAACATGGTTGGCTAAACTAGTGCAACATTTTATTCCAAACGTTGTTTGTTGGACTTATGACGAGATGTTGCACTGGATTGGCCTGGGATTGTTGTGATTAGTTTTTATAGATTGCACGACAGAAATCTGAAACTTATAAAAATGTGAATGGGTTCCGTAGAATTTCTGACCAACTACTTTAAATTTCTAAACTGCTCAAAGGTTTCTGATTGATAATGGCCTTTTAGAATAAACTAGCCTTGAGAGAAAACACATGAGTGAGATAAACTCTTTTTTATAAAAAACAGTACGATAAAGCTCATGCTGATTGTTGTTAATTTTTCGAAGATCTAAGGCTAGAATGTGTTTAATTTGTTTTAAATTAATAAGGTGTAAGCAGTGAAATTGGTAGCTTTTTCGCTCTAATGAGGTGTTTAGGCCTCAGTTGCCTCAAAGTGAGCGAGATGTCCTTTACTTGCTGACAAATTTGAATATTCGCCAAAAAAGCACCTACACATGGCTAAAATTTTATCATTGCCTTGTAGATGGGGGATTTGAAAACATATTCGTTGTGTATTCTTGAAATCAGAATACTTCCCATGTTGTGGACAGTAGGCCCAAGAAAACAAATTTTTGAAATTGGTTAACCAACCTTCGGTCTCAGTTGATTTTCTTTGATGTGCAGCCAGACAACTTCACTATTACTTTCAAGTCTAAAATTTATGCAAAGATATTTTTCAAAGATACTTCAGGGTGGGAGCTGTGTATAATCTGAGATTTTATGTCACTTTTGTAGATGATGGTGGAAGATCTGGAGGGTCTACGCGCGATGGAACTACTGTTGGAATCGTCTTTGGTGTCATGCTGCCATTGTTCTCATTATCATCATTTTTTTCTTTGTACTGAAGAAGAGGCAAGAAAGTAAGTCATATTAAGTTTCCTTTCTTGGCCTATAGATTGGCAAAGTAAAACGTCCTAATCATTTCTTTTTAAAATTGTAAAATTTTGTCAACAAAACCTTAAAGAAAACTAAAAATATCTCAACGAATCGACAGTTGAATATTTTTTCTTCTTATCATTTGGCTCGTCTAGTTATATTGGCAATTCGATTGATTCTTTGATGAGTTTAGAGTGGGGGGGGGGTCCTTTTCCCTTTGTTTCTTGTTTGGATGTCTTTAAACGAAGCCGTGAGAATGATGAAGCCAACCAGTATGTTCCCCATTTTGATAGTCCCTCTCAACAAACTGACACAATCCGATATTGTAAAAAGAGCTGACATCATCGCGTTGTTTATGCTTTCTAGTTCATTCTGATTATCAATGCGTACTTGATGGTACCTTAAATACATTTCTTTAAAATAGTATCTAAGCCAAGATAGCCTCTAACCTAATTGCAACAAAAAATTACAATAACATAAATAAATCACAGCAACAAATTGATAAATTACAGTTATTAATTGCGAATGGACAGAACCCAAGCTTAACCGGTCCTCTCTTCCTTCTCCCAAAAACAATATTGTTAGTACAGACAAATATCATACATGTAGCATAAATAAAGCACTATTCCTAACCTCCTTAGTCGTTTTATTGAAATCCAACGTCATTAAGACAGAGGGGTAAACCTGTGGTGTGTATGCAAGGACGGTTTTAAGTTGCAGTTCCTGGTTTGAGGCTAAAATCATGCTATTTGCTTGATAAAAGAGGCGAAAGAAAAAGTTGTAAACTTTTCTCTCTATTCTCAATTTAAAAATTGAAGTTTGCTAATTTCAACTTTCTTTTACAAATCTTGAATACCCACATTTTTTACACAGGCCCTTTCTGCTCCCATCCTAGGACAAGCTGAATTTTTTCTACGTTTCATTCCTTGTACATGTGTGTATCTTTATACAATTGATAAAAATACGAGCCGCAGAATACCTGAGCCAGACTGTCATAGGTGTGCCAATTCGACCTAAATTCGTACTTATTTCCTCAACAGAATAGAATTTCGAAGGTCCAATTCGCAACTTGAGATGCAGCAGCCGAAAAAATTCTTGCCTTCTCTTCAGTTCCGTTTATTGGGCTGGCTGATATGGAATGTTGGATTTTTGTAATTTTTACGATTGCGTTCCAGATAATTTATGTTGAAGGTGATTTACAAAATGTGTTTATTTCTTCACTAACCAAATTTCTTTCTTTCCACCGAAAATTTTCAAATTTTCATCGAAATTTATCCAGAAATTTTCTCCACCGACAATAAATTCACCGGGATATTTGGCACCGAATCTTTCAGTCATTTTGCAATGGACTAAGCCTATTTTTCACAATTGGTCTAATTTTCAAAATTCTGTGAATTTTCGAAACTTTGCGATTTAACATATTTTTGACTGTAAAGTAGCCCTTAAAAGTTGGCTGGTCCAGATCGAAAATCAGAAGCATCTTTAGGCACGTTTTTATGTTTTACGGGAGGTTCACTCAAAACAGCCCCCTCCCCTACCCCTGAAATAAAATTCTCCAACATGAGTTTCCACCCGCCGGACAACAGAACCGCCAATGTTGGATTACCGTAAATCCTCAAAAAGCCCCCCTCAAAAAGCCCCCCTCAAAAAGCCCCCCTCAAATAAGCCCCCATCCTAGAACTAAAAATTGTCAATAAGCCCCCCTCCCCTCGAATAAGCCCCCACTGCTACTGTGAATTCTCAAGTTGGAACTCCTCAAGTTGATGAATTTTGCCATCTGAGGCTGCCCCCCCCCCTCGAATAAGCCCCCATCCAAAAATATCAAAAATGAATATGCCCTCAGAGGGCTAATCGAGGATTTGCGGTACATAAGAACTGTGTTTCTTGTATGCAATATCTTTTTTTATTTTTAAAGTATCTAGGCCTCTAACCTAATTACAACCATAACATAACAATGAATTAGAGTAAATGTAACTTTAATTGTGGTTTGCAGTCAACATGCTTTCTTAAAAAGCCTCTCAATTTTCAAGGGTCGAGTAATTGAACTTAATAAAGCTCATTGCACATGTAATCTCAACTCCTTTGCATTTATGACACGAGGTTTAGCGGATTATACTATCCAGATTCGCTAGTTCCACCTTATCTAAAGATATCTTTTGCTACGAATTTGCAATTATAAATATAGACAATCTTTATGAATTTGTATAGAGTTTAAATCGTAACTTGATGTCATAGCGTAGCACAGTGGTGATCAGCACTGCTGGGCGTCAAATCTAGAAGCTGTAAGAAATTTGTGTCTCGTATCTTTGTGAAGTATTATATTTTAAAGGTGCTTTATATTGTTTTCAGCTAGTGTCTTTTTATTTCTATTTTGAAGAAAAGAGAAGAATAAGTTAGACTTTCATGGTTATCTCTAATATAACTTGACTCTTCGGAATTCTTGCAATATCTTGAGCTTGACTTCAATTTCCAACAACAGCCTCGTTGTTTAACTGTTAATAAGCCTTCCCTTCAATACCGAGTAACTTGTGGTTGTGGCCTACATTAGAATGGTAACAGACGTCTTCGGATCGAATCAATATATCGGGTTGGAAAGGACTGGTTGGGTATATAGGGAAATATAAACAATTGTTTATGAAATTGGAAGTTTGTATCTAAACAAGAATGCCTATTGCATTTATTATAATTTTCCGAAGCACATTTCCAATGCTTATAATCTGCTCAGTTAACGGACAAAAAGTTTTTTTAAAATATTGCAGCCTTCAAAGAACACTACGAAATTTCCACAACGTCTTGGTCCGTGAAACTGGGGTTGATTAATTTTTAGTTAATTCGTGCACTGACAAAATCTATAATTTGCTGTATGAAAATAGAAAAATCATAGAAAGCTTTAAGCTTTTTAAAGGACAAGTGACACACTTTTCACCCTATCTTTTCTTTTCATAAACTTATAGATCATCGTTTAGAAGTAAGTTTTTCCTGGTTTAGAACAAAAAATTCTAATCAGGGGGCGCAGGGGGCGCGATTTTGCTTTTTATCACGTGACCCTATGACGTACATTGTGATAACTCGGAATTTTCCTGTCATTATTAGAGAGTCTACAAAACACGACGCGACAGGTCCAGGCGAACTAAATTCGTTTAGAAGCGTGTTGTAAACATTAATATTGCACTGTATACCAGTAGGAGCAATAACAGATTATCACAATCTACGTCACGGTGTCACGTGATTCATTTCCCACCATAATTTTGAAAGGGTTTTTAAGTAGGAAAATGAATTCAGAAAGGAAAAATATTTCAACAACACTCTCATACAGCATTTTACTTTAAGTTAAAAAAAAAGAAAAAAAATTGGCGCCAAAAGCGTGTCACTTGTCCTTTAAAGGAGATTTCGATTCGGACCAGTGCAGAAAGTTTTCTACAGTTGCTATAAATTTCCAAGGTTAGGGTATAAAAAGGTTTGCAATGCTCTGAATTTTCCCAGTTTTTCGATAGTTTTCTTTGTTGTTCTTAGTTTATCCATAGAGCCCAGAATATATTACGGTTCTCAGACAGGTAATACAACTATATACCTCTATCTTAGGTTTTTGTAACTTTTATATACATATAAAGACTTTGTTGCTCCTGTGTAAGAGCTCTTCAAAGCTGGCATATTCCGTCGTAAGAGCTTTTCTGAATAATCTACTCATGGCCGCATAAATGGGAGAGGGAGTAGGACTCTTCATTACATAATATATTACTTTAACCATTGCCTTTTTCTGATTTTTTGAAGTATGCATAAAAGCAGATACTTGGAAGAGTGAAAAATTTTAATCATTTAGAGATCAAGGAAAAATCATGAATAGTAAAAAAGAGGGGGATTTGAAGTCAATTGGCTTTATGGGGAGAAATTAAAAAACTTTTTCAGCGTTTTCTCTTCTGTAGAATGGTTTATAGGGACCACAGATTAGTTAATAAATTTTTTTTCAAAAAACAGCAATTTCTGTTTGGTGAAACTTTATTACTTTATATTACTTTACATACTTTACACGCAGAATTCACTTTTACATTTAGAAGATTCTGCGAGTATAAGAAAAAAGACAGGTGCTGGGTTAAAAACTGATTGCGAAAGTGGAAAACACATTTTTAGAAGAGTAAAAAGATGAATTCTAATTAAAGGTAATTTTTTCGGAATATACTTTCTCTGGGAATGATGGGCTGATAAGCTCGCTCCGGTACAATGCATCGGGACCTCACAACCATGCTTTGTACCTGGGCTAGCTTAATGTTATATGAAATGCTTATAAGCTTGTTTAGAATATTTTGTGCATAGTTGCATAACGAAAGGTTTGCTTACGACAATGCTCTGAAAACAATAATTCTTTTCCACTATGTTAACATATTTTGACTATGAAATAATAATAATGCAATTAAATAAAATTTGTCGAGAAATTTCGCGGAAAATCAAGAGGCATATTCTTAGCAGTCAACTAAACCTGGAAAATCTTTTTGGAAGTTGTGTTGGTGCCACTCTATCCACAACAATAAGGGGATTGAATGTTTCGAGAACACAAAACTATGGCCCTCTTAGCTTCTTTAAATGTTTGCCCCAATCTTCAAAAACTTTAGCCTGTGCGCAGACTCGACTGGTTTTACCAGAGATGCATTTAGTTGATCGGAAAATTCAGTATTTCTCTCTACTGGAAGAGAAACCCTAAATTTTCCGTTCAACAAAATTCATCGCCGGGAAAACCATTCGCGTCTGCGCGCAGGCTGCAAAAACTTTTGCACTCGTGAAATTTTACCATCATCATATTGGGCGTAATGTAGGGTGAAATGTTGTATCGTTTGACCGGGGCTTTATTATAAAAATGTGTAGGTGTCACATGGGCCCCGCAGAATTTGAACGAGGAATCAATAAGGAGGAATTTTAGCGTTTATCCATAAATCTATAATCATGCAGATAAGCTTTGCATCTTCAAAATAATATGGCTGTCACATCTAAT